GACCATCATGCAATATGAACCCCCTCGTATGATCACGGTGTAAAAGTTGTAACTGCTCTCTTCTTCTCATATGTTTTTGACCTGGTTTTTTCCCTCATCTCTCTCTCTAAGTTCTGTTTCTGTTTTCGACTGACGAATATAACAAGGTGAATATTGGAAAGTACCGGTCTGCATTCATGATGGATTGACTTTCGCGCTTCTTAGAAACACAAGGAATATTATAATTATGGCCAACGCATCGATCCCTGTAAACTTATGGCAATCATGCGCACTTTGGATGACAACTCATCTGAAGTTATTGTCTTTCTCTTTAGAGATAAAAAAATTTAAACGCACGTTTTGGGACGAGCATCTTTGAGCTTACCAGTCCAGATGTACTCAGTATCAAACAATCCACTCCAACTGCGTATAAACTTGGACTCATAAATTAGTTATCAACTTAACTCTGAATGCTAGATATTGATTGCCAACAAGGACAAGATTGCTCTCAGAAGTAGATCGAATATTCTTGATATTCAGAGCAAATAAACCCATGACAGGTGAGGGGATCAATGAAAACATTTTGAAGATAGATTGAGATTGCGAGTTTCCGCACCTGTAGGTCCCAGAGTCCATGTGACATGGAGAGGACGCATTTTACAACAGCAAGAGCAAGGAATCTAAAACCTCTCCAGATAAGTCCAGAATGGAACTGTTCATATGAACTGTGGTGCGTTAAGAGTGTCCTCCCACCCTCACAGGTAGGGAGGACAGGATAGAGGTGTACTCAGGCAGCCAGGTAACCAGTATCGTAAATCTTTAACACAAGACATGAAGTTTTCTCCACTGGCGGAGAACTTAAAAGCAGTTCAAAGCGTTATGTAGGCTGAGCCCAGATTTGCCAACCTACACTTCTAGAGCGAATTTGAGAGGAAATCAGAGTCAGAAAACTTTCGCACGAAGCTACGACATGTCAGCCCAGGAATTCATATTTTACAACAGAGCAAGTGGAACCATGACATGGGAGAACTTGATGCTGGAGGTGAAGCAAGTGGGCTAGCCACTAGGCGGCTTGGTTCTCTTGTCATGTGGACTCCGAGATTTGAAGATCTTTGTGGGAGGGCACTGAACAGTTTGTTTGACAAGCAGGTGACTTCTGATTGGAAGCTCAGAATGTGTATCAAGTAGAAAAATTATGTCTTTCAGCTCGTGGATTTGGATTTGGCAGTTGGGATGACCCTCGAATTGAAGATCATTGGATTGGATGTTCAAATTGAGAATCTTCTGCTTTCAGGTTCAAGGCTTATGCCTCCTGGACACGACACAGTAACGTACCAAACAGAACTTTTAATACGTCTACCTTGTGGTAACTTGGGATCTTCGGGAAATTCAGTTGAAAGAATTGAAATTCATCTGAGGACATGAATTTTGAAGTTTCATGGAACTCCTGTAAAGGAGCTGAACTGCATCAATGATCAGATTGGATGTATGGCAAAAAGTGAACTGGGTCCATTCCATTGCAACCATATACTGACCCCATACTGTACTAAACTTGTGCTTTCGAACATTCCTTCAATGAGATGCTATAAGAATCTGGAATTTGCTTTGGACCTCACGATTTCGAATTTTTCCACTCACGCTGGGGGAATTCACTTGCAGATCTCTTCTTTCTGTTATGAATCCCTGAAACGATCACATAACTGCGCGATCGAGATCAATCCAATTATTTAGCAAATCACAAACATTCCAATATTTCAGTTGCTGTCGCACATATACATTTATGAAGATCCGATGACGAGGAGGATAACCAGCATCAAATTTATTCATGAATTATGTCGTATCAAATTGTGTCATACGACTTCTGACCTGTAATGAAACTGGTCCGTGGATAATATATGAGAAGTAAGAGGTGCAAAACTTATTTACTTAAAAAATATTTAGGAAAAACTTCATATTGTGCATTTGGGGTATTTGCCGGTGAGTTTTCTCTTACGATATCCTTAACTCTCTCGAATAAACTTATGTTTATTCACGCGGAAAGGGATGAATCAAACCAACAGCTTAGCTTCCAAGCTTCGATTAGTTCATATGTAATACTGGATGTTTGGAATCTGAACTGTTACAGCATTCATGTTGAACTTGCCTTCTAGAGAATTATACAAATCCCTTCGCTCTGTACAAGCTACAATCAGTACGTACCACAGTTTCAGTGAGTGTTCCAGCGTTCCAGCTAAAAGGATAAAAAACCCTTGACGATACATGTAGAAGCTATACACAAAATCTGGACTAGCTTTCAGTTTCATACGCAAAAATACCATCTTAATTTATGATCTTCAACAGGTCTGATCACTATGTCACTGAACGATTGTATATGCCCGTCTTAATCGCTAACAGTAACTCCAACTTTACTGAAGGTCCTCCATACATCCCTGTTGAATCGATAGTCTTGAATTTGACACTGATCCAAAAATAGAAGGAAGAAATAAAAGAATGATCTGACTCCTCATATAATCTTCAGTTCCGAAGACACAATGGACAACATCGTGATTTGGTGTCAAATCTGATCTGATTCAAATTGTAATTGCAGCTCGACCACCACTTTCCATTATGATTCTGGAGTAAAAATCACCTAGAGGATAATTGGTTTCTGGTTATGCACATCCTTTTCAGGCTTGCATGGGACGGCAACATTGCGCTGTCTTCGTTTCAAACACAACGATTGTCGGAGACCCGTGTCCTCGAAAGGTGAAAAGCCTGGCAGTGCAAGCGCGTTGCCAGCTTTCGAAGAGAAAGCAAAGGAGAAATCGAATTAAATTTCTCCCATCGAGCTTTGTATATTGTTGGGAGCGCTGCCCAACTCGAATTCTCTATCCTGCTCTTCACCGGTCCGACGTTCACCATCTCCCATGAGCCACCCTAAACCCTAGTAATTGACATGCCAATTTAGATGGGGTCCTTGATAATGGTGCAATAGAGCTTCCAGGCTGTTCTGCTGATGAAACTTCTAATTTTCATACAAATACTACTCCTTTGTAGTCCAATCTGAGGTTGACATTAATAACTGTTCTGACCCGTTTCAAGGTTTTTCGTTCTTAGTTTAAACATCAGGTAAAAATAAAATCATTTCCTATAGAAATTCAGTTTGAAACTTTGAAAAGTACTTGATATCTAGAAAGCCAACAAGGGTGCACATTTCAAGTATTGCACACTTGCTAGCCCTTGAGACCGGTCAAGAGATTGTAGATTTCCAGAAGTTATAAGAATTGCTGTTTCTTCTTGTGAAAAATGTTCCACAAGGTGAGAAATTACCCGTGCATGAACAGGTGGTGAAGATTGTGTGACCAGTCAACTTCAATATGTCAATTTCTCAGAAAATATTTACATTCCAATAGTTTGAGGGAGTTGTTGCGGTAACTCTGTAGCATGCAAGCAGCTGATGTGACAGCAGCATAGAGTGCGAGAGTTGGAAAATTAACTGCAAAAGAAGTTTCTCGATGTCTTCCTTAGAGCAAGCTGGTACTCTTACACAACGAAATTTGAGAAATCAAGGTTCAAAACTAGGGTAATGACACGGAACATACAGCATTACTTCTCTGCTGTGACCTCCGTTGATATAGTTCACCACATTGTCAAAAAACTTCGAGATGTGCATAGGAGGATTCCGTCCCAATAATTCTTGCGTTATTTTCTGCTCAATCTTCTACTCCAGCCACTTGCCGCATGTGATACATGAATCGTACCCTGGCAGTATCAGACTCTTATTCTCGTTATAAGCATCCATTTGAATAGCGAGCTCGACTTGTGACTGAGTCCTTTGGTGGCAGTATCAGCCAGTTACTATCATCAGATGCAAATGCCTATCGAAACATGCAAATAGCACTTGACTTTGGCCTATCGCATACTCGGGATAGGTGGTTGTGGCTTACAGGCAGAGTCTTCAGCTGTGGCTGTCAGATTCTGAATCCCCTGTTTTTACAACGTCTCTTTCAGAATAGGTATACATAGTTTGTGCTAGTGGTATGCCCTTATTGGAAGTTATTTGCTCAAATTTTCTTAAGTCGCGCCGTTGGTGCGTGAACCAGATTTTCTCATATTTATTTATAAATTTATTGAAAGCGGACGAAGGCTGCTGCAACTAACAAGCTGTAGCTCGCCTGACCTATGAGTATCACTAACAGCTGCAGATTAAAGCCCTCTTCGATGTAGGGACTTCTTACTGGCGCTGGTATCGGCTAAGCCAAATGACAAAGATTTTTCTTGTTCGAGTGAACTGTTGATCCGGTAATAAATATGCTCCGAAGGCAGTCTTGTGTTCGAACACAAAGTTCATGTAGCAGAAGCAAGGTAATAATAAACTTTGGAAAATTGGCGCGCAGTTCTGATGAGTTCTTCTCTTCGCGATCCTTGGAGACAAGAACAAAATCTGAGTTCTTACTTAATTTGCCTCGAGTGTGAATTTAAGAATCAAATTTAATCTCTCGTAGTCTTAGGATCGTAATTCCTCTACGGATGCTGAGACTTCCCTTAGAATTTACTGAAAGCATGTTTGTTAGTGGCACGACCATATCTTATGTCTACGCAAAGTGTGGTGGACTTCTCGTTATTTTCACAACTCTATGTTCTCACGCAGTGTCAGCCTTGAGACACCGATTGGCATTTAACGATTTTCTACTGTTCTAACTTTACAACCAGTCCAGATGCCGGAAGGAAGGTTATGCATTAGGACATTGACGTCAAAATCAGAACTTGGAATCCGATAGCCCAGATTAGATATCTCAGGTGATTAGAGCAAAAGATTGATCCTTGTGTCACTGTTTCGAATCCATCTCTAAGCGCAATAAGCGGCAGCTGACTGCTGCCCCTTCAAAATGGCAGGAGAGATCCGATGGTGCTCCACACACCGTGCCTCTTACGACATAAGCGCTCGGCCACCACAGAGCAACGCGGAATTCTCTAAGCATCTGCCAGACCTCTGCATTATTTATAGATATCGGTTACTCCATCACTTACAAGTAAATTAATGAGACTGAAGCAAATCGCGAGAACTTGCGGCACAAGCTCTGATATTAAATTCTAAATCGGAACTTCTTGACAACAGGATTGAGAACAACAAGCTCTAAGATAAATCTTCTACGCGGCAAATATATGTTGCAACAAGTTTGTATATTCTGAAGACCAGAAAATCTTGCTGAATTGCCTTGTAAAAGTCTCCGCTGCTGTTGTAACCATTGGCAACAATCATCGCCTGATCTACGTCGAATTCAGAGCTGATCTTCTAGTCCAATAATGATAGACCGATCTCTGTGAGTCTATAGTGTCAAATTGTTTCGCTATTGACCTCCGAATCAAGAGGCTCAGCAAGCCTCTGGAGAGATTTTTATTCGAATGCAGTATGCATCGATAAAATAAATGTCCTCCATACGGCAGCATAAATCTCGACAGAACGGAAGTGTCCAGGATAAGGTTGTCAAGTTCTCATGATCTAAAGCGTGGAATGTATTTACCGATTCGGGCATGTCAGTAAACCAACCTCTCCGTGGACAGACCTCCCCAGAGCGTCTCATACAAATGTATGACTAAAAAGAAGGTAGACTCTCCTAGTCTGTTGCTGATACTCGGGCCTGTGCTGAGATCCCACTTGCTGCAGTCTATGGAGACGTTCATCCCGACCTCCCGGAAGACAGCTGACAGTGGGCACTGGGACATACGAGGTTGGAACATCCTTAATTCGAGCAGTTGCAGGACCATCGGACCTTGACCAAATCAAGGTAAGAGGACATAGCAAAAAAATTCCTTCGCTTTCTCTCGCTTCACTGCAGGGAGAAACTTTCAATACGGCTCTAATCTCTATGTCTGTGATAGGAGCGACCAAACACATATCATCGTTTCTATATATTCTCGCTTTCTTAATTGAAAAGCTAAACGACACGAGTTCCTATATATTCTCGCTTTCTTAATTGAAAAGCTAAACGACACGAGTACTAATATGTAGGGTGGAGCTATTCTCCTACATCCAAAGGCATCTATATCGTTGGAGGAAGTTCTTCTGATCATCTTATTTTTTATAGTGAAAACATCAACCCTCAGAAGGAAAATTTTCAACGGAATCACCCGATTAATTCATATTCATCTTCCTCAAGCGAATAATTGAGGAAGCCCGTTTTAACAGAAGAGGAGATCCATCCAAAGATACCCTTTGCTTCTGTATTTTTAGCATCGTTGCCAAGAGTATAACCTTTCCCGTAGTTTTAGACAACATAGATCATATTTATACCTATTTCTAGGACCCTTATATTTACTTTCAGAGACACAGTAAATGAACTCTTTGCCTAATGAGGGAAATGCCCGAGACCAAAAAGTGGGAATAGTGTCTCGTGAAACATGTGTTTCGCACTCGAGCTCTCTCTTCTTCTATTCCCTCGTGAGATGGATCGTTGTCGGGACATATACAGGAAGGTAATATCTGCTAACACATTTGAGCAAAATGACATCAGATTTTATACTGTAGACATGAACATTTCAGACGATTGTTGTATCCATTGACTTGACTTTGCGTGAATCAGCGGAGTACTACCTGACCTGCCATGCGTGATGACTTCGGTATACCAAGTCCCTTCTGAGCCAATCAGTATTAGGCTAACGTGAGGACGAAGGTTACATGGTTGGAGTGATGTTCTCGGATGCAGTGTGATCCCATCTACTACAGAATCGAGCTGTCGCCAGGTTCAAGTCAATTCAGGTCAAGGTCGTAAGAGTGTAAACATGAACATCGGTGCAGATCCTCGCCGCCCACATCCCAAATATCTAGGCCACTTTAGAATTCAAGACAGAAATTCAGATTACGTCATCGTAAATGGTACTGTAAAGACATCGTCGAATTACTTCGCCAAGCAGCCCTGATAGTGTGTTCCGCTCATATTTTCCTTTTGAAATTTGAAGTGCATTTGACATTCTTAATCATTGCCATCATCAATGACTTTGTCTAACGTTCAATGCCATGCATGAATGCAATAATCATGAACTAATAGGAACACAAGGTTCCAATTTGCAACTTATATGCAGATCATTTCGGTTCCTCCGCAGCTGCAAACGTCGATGCCTGCAGTTCAACACCTTGGCAGTAGACTAAGAACGTTTTCTGTAGGCGGTGAGCTCTCCAGAGCTTCTTCACAGCACCGCTAGCTCGCAGTGAATAATCTGCGACAGTTTGCCGACCCTCGGAGACAGTAAAACAACGCAACGAGGGAATTGTGCCCTTCTGTCAATGACGACAAACCAAGCAAGTCCCATACGCATAGTAGATCAAAAAAAAGGAAGGCAAGACCCCGTCGGACATGGATGAACAGCAGTAGAAACAGACTTCGGCCTCCGCATGTACGCAGTCCCACCAATTGCAAGCTTGGTCTCGTTCATCCGGAGGGCCCAGGTCAACCCAAGAATGTAGCTCCAGACAACTATATAAAATACACTGTTGTTTAGTACCATGGCATTACTTCTAGTCATAGAGCCTTTTTATGCCCCATGTGCCATTGTTTACGGTGCTGGTATTCGAGAAATGTCTTTCAATATTAAATTAGTGATCAAATATTCAAGTATACGTTTACTATTCTAAAATGTGACGATGAGATTTTGGATAATGTGTTTGTAAATTCATCCGTTCATAAGTGTAAGATGCACCTATTGTGTACATAAAGGCTTCTCCTTCAAGCACTGTCAAGCAGATATCACACTTCAAGCTGCAACTGGAAGTCAGATGCGGTTAGAGCTGGATATGATTTCCAATATGGCCTTTCAGCGATGGATGTTGGTGGTAGCGGTAGGCCTCTTCTCTTGGAGTGGCATGCTCATCGTAATGACGAATGGCCAATCTCTTCCAGCAGTCATTTGCGCAAATGGGAACTCATCTTGTACAATCTTTCCAGCATTCGGACCTTGGGTAGATCGCAAGGATTGCAAGGCTGCAAGAGTTGTGTATCCCACAACAGAAAAGGAGCTCGTTGCAGCTGTGGCAGAAGCTGTCAAGGCCGGGCAAAAGTTGAAAGTGATCAGTAAGCTTTCGCACAGTGTCCCCAAGCTCGTCTGTCCTGACGGTGATGAAGGTCTTCTGATCAGCACGAGTGAATATAATGGTATCACTGTCGACAAGGAGCAGCGCACTGCCACCCTCGGTGCAGGAGTGAAACTCAAGACTTTCTTCAACACCATTGCCAAAGATGGTCTCGCCTTCCCCCACTCGCCCTACTGGGCTGGGCTCACCATCTCGGGTGTCATTTCCACTGGAGCCCATGGGAGCTCGATATATCATAAAGGCTCTGCTGTTCATGAGTACGTGGTGGGGATGAGGATTGTTGTTGCATGTCCTGCTTCTGAAGGCTACGCCAAGGTGATCACGCTAACTGAGAAGGATGAGGATTTGAAGGCAGCGAGGGTGTCCATGGGGCTGCTGGGAGTGATCTCGACGGTGACCTTGGAACTGCAGCCTCAATTTAAGAGATCCTTGACTTTCGTGCAGAAAAGTGACGATACACTCGAGAAGGAGATTGTTGAGAACGCTCTGAAGTATGAATTTGGAGATGTTGCCTGGCATCCGGCAGCCCACATGGCGCTTTACAGGGAAGATTTTCGAGTCCCGATTTCCACTCCCGGCAACGGAACAAACAATAGCACTTCCTTTGGCTTCCTTCCGATTGAGACGACGGTACAAGCAAGACTTCTAGGTCGGCACCTATTTCTCATCCCATGGTTTGCATTCCTGCAAGTCCTCAATATGCTGGAGCTATCTTCTCTTTCTATTCCTAATCTTTGCTTCTCCAAGTAATCATCTTAATTGGAATATCTAACTAACCTACGCTAATTTTGCACGACGAAGTGGGGAACCCGCGTTTCTGATAACTGATCACGGTCATGATCAACTCTGACGGCCATTCTGATAGATTTTGAAGCATGCTTTAGGCTTGATTGTTGATACTTTACCCTTCACTCTCGAGGAATTCCGCACTGCTCACGGAATGAGGCAATACCAAGACAAATTAGTGATTGAGCTCTACGGTCTATGGAAAATAATAATGATCTGGAAGATCACTAGATCTAGATGTGGGCTGCTATAGCAAGTCCTTGAGATGATAACCGAATTCTGATCATACATTTCATCGTTCTGCAAGGACAGTAACCGATTAGGCTTGAAGCGGTAGGAGCTCCATCACATTATGTTCGATGGGGATTGAACTCACATCCCGATGTGTGGTGAAACTTCTGTGCAGAGGAATTCTTCGAGGCGACGAGGAATGAATCAGGAAAATGCATTGCAGGATCAGCGCAGAGTCAGATCTTCATCTCGATCGCCTTCGGGTACACGAACAATGGCAGCTCGTTCACAGGGTACCCGATTGTAGGATATCAGAACGACATGGAGACCTTCGGCACCTGCGACGAAGCACCTTTTTTGAATGGCACTGGGTTTGCTTGCACTTGGGACAGGCGAATCAATGGCACGCAAGCATTTGATATGGATTTGCACATCCCATTCAGGCACATAGGTGACTTCATCAGGGATGTCAAGGAGCTCGTCGCTCTGCGGCCCACCAGCCTCTGTGGAGCCGAGCTGTACAATGGCATCCTCATGCGCTACATGAAGAGATCTGTCGGAGCTCACCTGGGCGTCACTGAAGATGGTGTGGCCATGGACATTGTGTCTTACCGCAGCCGCGACCCGAAAGTGCCGACCTTGAACGGCGACACTTACGATGAAATCGAGCAGATGGCGCTCTTCAAGTACAAGGCCAGAGCTCACCTGGGCAAGAACCGACCAGTGGGATTCATCGATTCGCACAAACGCTTCCGGAATCTGAATAAGTTCTTGGAGGTGAAGAACCGATACGATCCTCTCGGCCACTTCTCGAACGAGTGGACCGACAAAGTTCTCAACATCGGTGGAGCGAACGGGAGAATTCAGACCTTGAGGCCCTTCTGTGCACTCGAGGGTCTGTGCATTTGCTCCGAAGATATTCACTGCAACCCCGAAGCATTCTATTTCTGCAGATCCGGCCTCGTCTTCAAGAAGGCTCGTGTGTGCCGGTTCGAGAAACCCGAATTGCCAGATGTTGCTCATTATTAATCACCGCATTCATCTTCATTCTTCCCAACGATGCTGTAATCTCTGCACCCTGTACAAGACGAGCTTTTCATTGATTTCGTCGGACTAGCCAAACCTTGAGCATCTAATCTGATTCTCTCAGAATGAATATAATTCACGAGTTGAATTCATAACGCCATCTGGTTCGTGTTAAGTCAGATACTGGGCTCCATGTAAACGACAATCAAAGCCAGATGTTCGTGAGTACCAAATGAAAGTACCTGGTCGATTATCTCAGGCCAACGAAAATAAAGAAAAGGGAAGTTAAGAAAGCAAGTTTAGAAGATCTATCTCTTGCTGCTGCTTTTTACGTTCCACTGAGTGCATTTGGATATCCTGTTTTATCAAGGCTATAGAATGTACCAGTGTAAAACTGTATCTTCTCTCTAGTGTCAGATCCTGCTCTTATTATCATGTTGATGTGCAATTCTGTGGTCGGTGCCGGTTTCTGTGCCACCAGGAGACTCGCTCGCTCTTGACGGGTGGCATCATGACCTGAAGCCTACAGCTGGCGAAATTGAAGTGATTGTCGATAGGAGGAACCGCAAACTCAATGTGCATTAAGCACAAGCAAGCGATCTGACGAGGTACTTATGGTCCGACTTAAGGGAAGGAGCTGAATTAGTACGCGACTACAGAACGAAAGAAAACTTCCAAGTACACTCTATGGGCTTTGTCAACCACAGCTCTTCTTACTGGCAGCTTTAACTTCCAAAACTCCCATCAATTGCATATGTCTCAGATCGCGTGAGACTGCGGCTGATCGCATCTATTGGAAAGAGCATCATGTAGGAACAAGATATACTCTATCTGCAAAATGGTAAAACAACAGCGGTGAACTTCTTGAATAGAGTAGGAATATGGGATTTACTCTCTTGATTCGATAAGTTTGTCGTGGATGTTTTATATTTGCATCTCGTTGCAAAATGGTAAAACAACCGCGATCAACTTTTCGAATTGATTTGAATAAGAATACCAAGTTCCCTCTTGATTCAATAAATTTTCATTCAATAAATTTTCCGTTGATGTTTTATATTTGCATCTTGTTGAAGACTGTACTCTTGCTTATAATGTGCAAGATTTTCATCACTTTTGAGATTATACAGAGTAATTACGTTATGCTATAACCCCTAGATGTCGTCTAGTAGGTACAATCACTCCGGAGATTGGCGGTTTTTAGCCAACGCTGCGTTTCGATGTACTTCGGAAGCGGAAGACATCTAGCGATGTCCAATTTCCTGGTCAAAGTGTAACAACACTTAATTCTTTACCATAAGGAAGAAAGTTATCTATTGCTCAAACGTTATGGGCTCTAACCTCTATTTCCAGGTGCTTCTTAAACCAATCCACTTATGACACATTATGTAGGAGTACTCTTGCTGCAGAATATTACGTTTACTCGCGTGCTCTACTACACTTGAGCATGAATGAGTCGACATGTACAGTTGTGGTCCAAAGCTGTACGGTGCACTCACAACACTAAAGAGGGTGTGATCCTTATTTGCATCATTTGATGATCGTGATTGGCCAACTTCAGAGCAAGATTCAGAATTAGAAATCATCAGCAGGGAAATTGGCGCAAATTTTGCGGGCGGCTTTAACTAAACTGTCCGACTAGTGTAGCAGATGGAAGGATGCCCTGGGAGTGAGAGGGTTGCATGTTTTTGAATATCGGTTGATAGCATTAGGTGTTGGAACAGGCGAAGGGTCAATCCAATATCCCTACTCCAATCCAGAAACTGACCACTTTTGTTTTATATTTTAGTCTCGTTGGCAACTATATTCCAGCTTATGATGTGCTAGACTTTCATCATTTCTGATAATTAAATACAGTAATTACGTTATACGATGAACCACTCGGGGTTCATAGTAGGGTCACCCTGATGTCGTAAACCCGTCACCCTGATGTCGTCTATTGAGTACAAGGCTCGGCATTCCAACATGACCCTGTATGGAGAATGGTATCTCCAGACTTGAAGTACGTAAGGGTTAGTATGTAACTTGTGCAGCAAGAAGCCATCACATGTCATGAGTGAGAAAAATCACAATATTCCACGGCACACAATATTAAATGAAATAAATGTAAATTAGATCAATCTCGTGGTATCCAACTGATCAAAAAGTAGAAGAATTCACTAAAAATTATTTATTCATTAAAAAAATATTTGAAAGATATATCTAGAGCACTTGAAGAATGAATAATGATATATTTGATATAACAATTTAAATCATAAAATATTAACTGTAAAAAAAATATCACATCATTAAATTGATTTCTTGATACATACACATTTATAGTCAGAATTCATTTATTTAATATAATTTTAACTAACTCTGAGATCAGGTACATGTTAACCATTACCTATATAGCTCGTAATAACTACATTCGTGTGAGAAGTTAGCAGTTCTTCGAATATACTCTGAGGTCAGACAGACATATCAAAGAAATTAATCGTATGTATCTACTGTATGGTAGATACATAGATAAGATCGTATATATACTCGCAATCGTATATATATTTCTACAAAACCTTTTACGATGTGAACAGAAAGCTCCGCAAACTTGAATCTAATTCTCAGATAAGGCAATGCAGCTCTTATATTCTGTTGAATAGTTTCATCTCTGCGTGCGATTAGGTGAATGCTTATCTTATTCTGATAGGTATCTTGAGCAATGGAAGCCTTGACTTTGACGATGAGGATGGCTAGATCGCACTTCATGTATTTGCAGGTAGATTTTTGCTACTATTAATATTTTTGAACTTTCTGATAGCTTTGAAATGACAATAATGATCTCATTGACATATCCACTGCTTGGAGAAAATGTGTTCCGGTCTATCTTGGATGCGACTCAAGCTGCCAAATCAGCCGCAGCAGGAGCACATTCGGCATTTGCAACAGGATGGTCACCGAGATTCGCAGGAGAATAATAGAATCCTGCAAACCTGCTGTCATTGACTCTCTGTGGCTTCTGATCTCCCGTCACAATCATCGATTCTCTGATCCGTTCTGAGGTAAACTCTGGATCAAAATTTCCGACGTCTTCTGGTCCCTGTATTGACGTGATTAGTTCCAATAAAAGACGTGTTTCCCTCACAATGTTTCTCATAACAGTTTCATACACGTTGAGTGGATATCGCTTGATTTTCGATGAGGTGAAGAACTTCCAGAAGACTCCGGAAGGCACTATGAGCAAGCTTACAGTACGTAAGCATATTGTGCCTGTCTACTGGTGGTCTGAGCAGCAGCATCATATCTACTCAGGATCTGAAACAGCAGAATATTTCACCTCCATAGTTGTTACCACTAGCCATCTCTCCTTTAGAATCAATGATGTAGAAGAATTCTGAATAATGGATGTGAGTAAAGTAGCACTAGAGATTGAAGGAGTTACTTTGACGTTGGGTACAAAAGGAGCTGGAATTTCTCTGTTGTAAAGTGCAGCCCAGTCGATTGAAGCGAAGAAAGGATGCTCTTTGATTTCTTCTGCATCTCTATCTCCAGCGCCTAGGCGCAAATCCTGGTTTCTTTCCAGAAGCTGTCGAATTGATCCAGACAATTATCAGACAGCCAAAACTGCCCCATGGCATTCAACAAAAGAAAAACGGAACCCTGATAATAGACAGGCAGATTCTTACAACTTTAGAAATTGCAGTCTGTAACTGGCACTTGTCAACAAGTTTCGCAAAGAAGAAAATATCAGGTAGCAATATACATGAAAAGGGAGAATGCAGGTTTATCTGCAACTCCTCGTAAATAGATAACATGAACTTACTGATATTCTTATCAGTATCAGTATCAGAACTCTCTTATTTTAGCTCAAAATGCATTTAGAGTAGGTGTTCGAGATGCTAACTAAATGTATTGTATTTCTCGACTCCTCGGTATATGGTAACCAAAAAAGCATTATGTAATGTGCTCTTGTTTCCAAGCCACGGCATGCATAATACGTGTTCAATTAATATTTAAGATTTGCTCTGGCTAATGCATGCCTGAGTATTTACCTGGCCGAGGAGATGTTTTGCAGCAGGAGAGAAGGTAGCAGGAAACTCCACTGCTTGGAAGAGCGTCTTTTTGTAGATCTTATTCGGATCGGGATCGTAAAACGGAGGCTGTTGTAAGGAAGAAAATACATCGATTTCATGAGAACTTCTACACAGGTGTATGTCCGCTGACAGAATCAAGCAAGCAACGGCAAGGGTGAGATTTACAAAGAACAATGTTGCAAATTACGAACCAATCCGTGCAACATTTCGAATATCATGCTTCCGAGACTCCACCAATCTACAGCACGCCCTTGTCCACACCGCCTCACAATCTCGGGCGCTGTCATCAATCACGATTGATCTTTTTTGTAAATCTAAATTGTGAGCGACGAGCAGTTTTTGCTTCGTTGTTATCTCTGTGCGCAACCACAGCTTGATACTGGATAAGTTCAGAGTAGGAAAACTAGAGAATGTTGACAGAAAAAAATGATTTATTTTCGACGTTTTAGAGGTGATGTGACACTGAGCCGAGACTCTTCAACAATGTGCTCTTTGATCATATCACAATATAGCGAAGAATAGAGTAAAAGTCACTGGACAAGGAGCAAGTTCAACACAAAGCTTACATAATTTATACCTTTGACACACATACTAAGTTTTATTATGGTTACTTCTGTGCGCTTGTGACAGGAGTCTTCTGATTCCTGCAAAGAATGGCAGCGACGCTTTCGGGAGATGGTGGATGAAGAAAGGTTTTGATTTTTACCGATATATTCCGGTGTTCCAACGAACGATTCTCGAATTCCACTTGCGGCACTATTGACAACAATAGTCTTGGCTAGTCCGAAATCAGTGATTTTGACATGTCCTGACACATCGACGAGCTTAATCCACGTTGCGAATGCAAATACCAAAGCTCACCTTTCATACTCTATGGAGTATCTATATGGAATACAATCAAAAATATACACCACAAATTTCCTTCCTGGACCCAAAGAGCAGTGCTCTCAAGTTAGAAACAGAAACTGATGTTAAGGTATGAAGATTTTGAGCGAACCTGTGTTGTCCAGCAGAATATTTTCAGGCTTCAAGTCCCTACAAAGAAATATTTGATCTTCAATGAGGCATTTGAGCAATCTTGTTTAAGAAGGAATCATTTGTTAATACTTGCGTGCATATAATGGTTCACTGTGTAGGCCCACCGTAGCTTCCGTCAGAAAATACTCCGTCTTACCTGTAGACAATTCCAAGGGAGTGTAGATGCCCGATTCCCAGAATAATCTCTGCAGCATAGAACCTCGTCCTATCCTCATCAAACCTTCCTGATTCCTGAATGCATGGTTTACATATGTTGCTGAAGATACTTAAAATGATGGTATAAATGTTCTCTTATTAGATTGAAATCCAGCAGGAGCTTTGAAAGCATTCGGGAGCTTCACTAGTTTTATAGATAGGGTACTGTCTAGGACATATTGTGTGTCCTTGAAAAATTCATTTCGATACCTTTTACATTACTGGCAGATCCTTAAAAACTTTTTGAGTAAGTTTTGAACGATAAAGTGCGAGATACCAGTAAAGAAGAAGAAAGTAGTCTTTACTTTTAGGTGGAAGAAGAGCTCCCCACCATTGAGGTAGTCCAGCACAATGAACAGCTTGTTTTCTGTTTGAAATGCGTAGCGTAAAGATACCAGATAAGGATGCTGTAAGGCCTGCATTGATTCAAGAATCCTCTTTAATCATGCTCTTCCAAAGTCGGGGAACCATTTTCATTTTTCTAACAGGCGGATAACAGCTTCTCTTTTTGAACTTGATCACATACCTCGAGTATTTGTCTCTCTGACTTGGCACGCTCTACTTGCTGATTGGCAATAACGGCTTCTTTGAGAAGTGTTTTCATGGCGTATACTTTTCCTGTAGATTTTTTCCGAACAAGGAAGACCTGATTTTTCCGTGGTTCTGACCACGTTAGCTCTGTCTTCATTTAAAATGTTTTCTCAACAGATATTCTCTAAACTAATAATCACAAAGTACATTTCTCCTGCAGAAATATGAAGGCCTTACGTAATTTAGAAATTTGTGTTAAAGAGTGTGGAAGCTTTTAATGATATCGCTCCTGCTGTCTACAGCATTCAAGTGTCTATGGGAAAAATAAGGAAATGATCTTTACCTTTGAGGAGGCTCCAGTTCCTAGGACTTTAAGCACCTCAAAGCTACTCAGATCAACTTCCTCGTCCGATTCAGAAAACGCAGTCACCTGTAATATTCAAAAACTCATTTCAGATTCCTATATCATACCTTTGGAGATGTTGATACCGCTGTGCTTCAGACCGTGGGTTCCATCACGTAATCAAGCACGTAGACTAAAAGGCATTTGAACTTGTTCGTGGCATCAATTACGAACTTGAGCTCACATGATAACCCATTTAAACGTCGATCACTTACAGACTTGCGCCTCGTTGTTGAGGTGAAGTCCCTGATTGTCTGACTCTGGGTGTGCATTGCAATTTTTTGTTAGATTTAGTCATTGTAAATCAATACTTACACTTCACAAATCTTGGTCTATTATATCGGGTTCTGCTCTGTATCATGAACCTTCAGAATGATACGAATCTCTTGCTAATAATGAAGTCAAGTAGACTACTGTATTTTTGTAAATTTATAAAAGCCTTTCTGAGGTCTCTGCTTAAAATTTGATGAAATCCATTGTCAACGACAGGAGAACCGAACTTACCAGGGACATATGTGAAGCGTCCGTCTTGTTAACGCGAAATTTCTTGAGATCCTTTTCTTCCTGAAAGATTTACGTCCACAACACTGATTACGGCAGATGGTTGCGCTGCCGTTCAGTTTACGCTTAAGGTTCCCTAACTGAATGGTCTTACTTTCTAACAATCATGACTTTACTAGTTGAAACTCAAATTTGTTGTTGAATTCCGGTTTTGCCCACTCACTTGCATAACGAAAGGAGTTGGTGTGTGATTGGCAAAGCGTTGTGCAGCATGTAAGATTCTGACGATTTCTGTTACATTGGCGCTTGCAAAGTGCAAGTCATACACGTCTGAGCCCTGGAGACAGAGGTTGCAAATCGTTTACAAAAGTCCCAATGTGTTCGATATCTTAAGCCTCAATCATGGTTTCAGTCCTTGAAAGGAATTTGATCTTGATATGGCCATGAATTCTTCCCAGTCGGAAACCGTCCGAGTGATAAAAAATGAGAAAGTTAGGAAGTCCTCAAGTTTTAGCTTTTGACCCTCAATAGTTTTTCATTGTCAACATCATTCATTGCATGTACGTGTCCATCTATATGATAGAACTGGATAACTAACTCATCAAGTAATCTTCTTCAGGTGTTGGATTGTTGGACTACTCATGGATGTGAATGCCTGTGTACTGGAATACAATATATGATCTTTACCTCGGCAATAAACAGCAAGAACTGCTGGGTCGAACCCTGCTTTCCGATGATAATCTTTTGAAGGCTGGTAAGCAAACTGCGATGTTTTATTTCCAAGGCTTTGCCAATCAGACTGTACACTGCTTTATTCGTGATAAGGAGAACCTGTTTCTCTGGTATGAACCACTTTCGCTTCACCTTTTCCACATTAGCGCTATACAGGATCTTCTCGGTCCTTGCACCTGCACGTATGGAACTCAACCTCCAAAATGGTCACTGAATCTGTCAGGAACTCAAAGCTACGAGACGGAGTGCTGGACCCTCTATTAAGATTTTCTTGGCAAAAGGCTGGGCTCAAGAGTTTGGAAGGAATTCTTACCTACACTGGCCAAAGAGTTGAGCAACTCCCCGCTCGATTGAAGGTTCAAGTAATCACGTACTTCTACTGATCGAAGTTGCTGCATTGTGATTCGCCTTGGCAATACGAAGCTGTCCGCAAATCACTTGCCAATCCTGCCTGTCACAAACCTGAAAACCATGAATGCAGCTGCTGATTTATCCAGGATCTAGATTCTGTGAATGAGCTTATGTAACATCTCAATCGTCCACAATGCCTGAACACGAGCGAACTTGAATATAAGGTGAAACGAGTGGTACTCTACAGAGCGTTACCGAGAATCATGGTCGCTTCGCCGCTCGCGCTTAGCTTCACCTATTCCCTTTATGATTCAACTTAACCCATCATGTGTTGGACATACCCTTAACGGAATCAGCAATCTATTCTATCCATTCTATTGACAGCATACAGTGATTAGTCAGAATTTCCTTCCACGTGAGGTTTGACAGTTTCCCTTTTGTTTATTGATCACCTCTAAGAAGGTCTCAGGAGAAAATTTATAAATCGTGATCAGAGACGACTGGAATTATGTATGATTGGACATGCAGGAGATTGCTCTATCTGCCACAATCTTCCACAATTGAGTAGGGCTTTGACTTGTTGGCCTGAATGCTGACATTTTTTAATACAAAGCCCTCAGGCTGCAAGTTTTCTTTTGTTTTCATCAGGGGTGAGATTCTGATGATTCAGATCGAACTTGGCTGTCGATCAGAATGTTGGAGCCGATGTTTGAGTTGGGTTAGTCCTTATAAGTTTTCTGGTTCAGCTGATGGGACGAACAACAAATTCCTTAAGCAGAGTAAGACCAACGAGTTGAATGGTCAAGACGGATAGCATATCATCAGGGGATAAGACATGGCAATTACCGTGAACAGAACTGAAGAGACCTATTGCATAGATTCACAACCCATTCACAGCTGAACACGAACCAAAACCTCCTCTCTGCACCTGTTACGGATCCCACTGTGTAAAATGTCAGCAGTGAGATCTGCATTGCCTGTCGGAGATCTAAGATATCTTTTTAATTTTAATTCCAATCTTCGACAGTGCTTCATTCTACAGTTTTGTCAAAAGCGTATCGGATTAACCAAAAGACTTTGACTTATCTCTTGTTTAAGCCAGATGAGTCCTGCAGAGAATTGCAATCGAGTGTTGTGGTGAGCACTACAGCAGTGACCGAAAGCAGCTCACATTAGACTGTACTGGAACATGACTTCAGAGATCTGTCGGGAGAGGAATGCTAAGATTGCCATGACTTTAGTTCTTCATGAATTCGAGAACTAAACTCGAGGAGATGCAACATTACTTCACTGGACAATAAGTGCTATCAACTCATTTTCCGGAAAACGACCAAGTTGCTGATTTGTTCACCTATCTTACAGTTTCAGGAACTTAGCATCGCAGCAAGGCAGACATGCCATAGAGCAACTAGGATTTACTCTAACCGGCGGGATCTTCTCTTTAGCGGTTCATACATATCTAGCGCAATTCTTTGAACTTGTTCCGGGCTCTGCAATTCGACTTTGAGATCCGCTTACTCTCCTCAGTAGACACACCATTAGTCAAAACGAGTGAAAGCTGGCTTCTTTTCAATAATGCCAATATCTTTCACCATATGCCTCTGCCAATACAATTCTTTGGCCTTGTATTCGAGCATTTGCCTTCGGCTGATGACCACGCTACGGTCAAACTGCTATTATAACATATATAGATTAATATCATAGATTATAAATATATACTTAACACAACTACGATTTAAAACATGACATTTATAATGTGATCAATATTATAACTCGCATCATCAGTATATGACAGAGAGGTTGACAAATCTAAGTTTACAATGAAACACTTTGATGTAAAAATTCAAAATTAGGCTCAGGAGATCTGGACATAAAGTCGGATTGATTTTAGTTTGAAATTTCTTCAGTGGTATGAAAGTCATAATCTGAGTATGTGGCATACTGCCAAATTCAGGCTACCTCAGATCATGTAATTTTTTATGCAAGTCATTGTGAGAGTAAACACAAAATAAGATAATAAAGAAAATAAACTCATTAAAGAAATGCATGATGTTATCAACTTATTGAACAAATAAATATATATATATATATAACATCCAAATTTATCATTTTAAATATACAATTATCAAACAATCTATAGTTACATGAATTGAAGTTAAAACGTATTATGACATATTATAGGTAAGAATGCCAGAAATATCCAAAGTTATCATTTTATATGGACAATTATCAAACAATCTATACTTACATGAATTGAAGGTACCATGTATCATGACATATTATAGGTAAGAATGCTAGAAATGACCAATGGTACAAGATTCATTTACATAAAATTTTAATCAACTAATTCACATTGAAAATATAATACTCAATTATTACATATGTGCTAAAATTGAGCAAAAATACATCACATATAAGAATTATATTCTGGTTATATAGCATAAATTGGATACTAGTATGATAATTACAAAAAAAAATTCTTTGAGTATTTGATATCTTTCAAATTGGATTATTTTTTATGTTTATGAATTCAATATTATAGATTTGATTTCATATTTAATATCTTGTTAAATTTGAAATTTTCCATTGGATTTCAAATCATTTATTTGTAGTTGACTCAGATCTTGGTAAACTCTAGTAAGGTTAAGTCCGATTAATGTAGTTTGTAAATCTATCATTATACAAAAGAGCTAATGAAAATTATCATTGATACAAATTAGTATAAAACAATTAGTAATAATTAATAATTTTGCACTATCTTTGATAACATTATATTTTTCCAATAATCTGCTTTTTGACATCAAATCAAGAAAAGCTACCAACTTTGTAATGATGTTTTCATAACTATGAAATGTATAAGTAGTAGTTATTGTTAATATCGATATTTTTATATTATACTATACTCAAGGATGAAATATCATATCCTATGATTATAAGAAAATTTTTAAAAAGTACACAAATGTATAATGTAAACTATCTAAGTGGAGTGATATCATTATAAATTTAAATATAATGATATTCAAGAAATCCACATCTTTGACCATATGAATTTGAGATTTTATTGACCTCTGTACATAATTTTTGCAGACATATAGAGTATTATCTATCAAACTATCTACCCTGATAATCATATTCTTCTCAATGGAAGAGTATGATTTTAAAGAATGCATGCTCCAAAGTGCAATATTTGATGCAATTCGTATGCTCTCAATGTCCAGATGTGAAATTTGGTACATATATGTATTATATATGGAATATCTTAATTGATAGGTAATAGGTTTTAATGTTTCATGAGATATCTATCCATATCAATTTATTTTGTCCATTTTGCTACGTTGGTTTATACTTTTACAAGACACATTTCACATTTTTATAAAGAAACAATTGATCATAAATAACCAACAAAGACCGTGGGAAGTGGATTAACCAATATACCAGAGATGATATGAAAACAAGAGTTTACATTGACTAGTCTATTATATCATCACAATGAATAATATGATCGTTCAATTGAAAACATACCGTCTATCTGAAAGATTATCAAAGAATAATCATTTAACATGGTTTGTCTCGTGATTACACTATTTAAATACCTGTTTAGAATGATGGAAATACACTTCTACTGGAGGGCAGAGCACCTCCAGTATAGTGTGCTTTTCCTTTCTGTTATATTACTTGGTGCATTTCATTGCTTCATTTTTTTCACGACAAATTTCTAAACTAATAACTGCATGAATTCACTTAAAACCTAATTCTAATTCAGAGAACAGAAAGGCGATTTGTAGTTTGGAACTCGCTCTTGAGGAAGGATTGGCGATTTGGCTCGAGTGACAGTGAAATTGGCTTTCATGCAAGAGTAGTACGCGCGACGAGCAGATTCAGCTCTCGTACTATTACTTTACGATATCGTACAAAATCATACGTTCGGGTACAAATGGTGATTGATAGGTGGATCGGCTTTTCAAGCAAGCAAATTGCGCTGTAGGTGGAAAAGCAAGGGGCGTCCATATGGAGGAACATTTCATTCTTCGGGTGCCACCATCCGTGGCAGAGAGGTTGAATCGTGTACTCAACGAGGATCCGCTTTCTGCTCTGGACAATTCGATTGATCTCTCCTTTCTCGGTGGGTTAGAGAGGAATTGAATCGGACGCAAATTTTCTTATGTTGCGGTAGATTTCCTACATTGTCCGACGAGTTTCGAGCTGCTTGCGCAGCGGAATATAGGTTTCCACCATGTAAGAAATATTCCTTCTTGCTGTTGATTTATCTGCTTCTAATGGCAATTTCTCACCGAAATATTATCTTTACAATTGCAGAGGACGGAAGGACAGGTTCATTTGTCATTGGCAAAGAAAGTTTCCCTGCTTCGCTTCTAGATTTGCCTTGCGTGGTTGAGTCTTATAAAACTTACGACGACAATGTGCTCATCAAGACGGCCGATATTGGGCAGGTCTCTGCACCTGTATCTTTCCACCTTCGCTTTTTTTTAGCTGAGCTCGAATCAGCTAAACTTGTAATGCAGCAAGAATCTATAAATGCTCAATAAATTTTTCCACACTGAGAGCCCTGAGGTTCTAAATGTTTTCATTTTGAGCTGTTGTGATCATTTACCGTGTCAAAATGAGAATGTAGAACTGAACAGAGACTGGATTTTGAGACGTGTGTAAGAACTTGATTACATAGGATTGCAATCAAATATGAATTGAGAATATATAAAGTTTGAAAATACCTTTACGAACGGCATTTGTAACCTCGACCACAATTGCTGGCAGAATCACAAACTCTGCTGAGCTATGGCTAGGAATGAAGCTAATTTCTGGAAGCATGTTTTGAGTTTCTCGTTGTTCGGTGACTTGACTCATGTTGACAGATTATTATGGTGGGAGAGCCAAGTGAGGCGCCCCCCGAAGGACCAGAATACAAGCACGGTCTGACACCACCAATGCGAGATGCACGCAGAAGACGCTTTAGAAGAGAACCTGATCTGAATGTAAGCTTTTATCCTGCACTGTGTACAGTTCTTAACACATACAGAACTGACTTTTCATTGCTTCTTAGCTTGTGCTTCAGTCGATTCCATTAAAATTGTACTTACTGAAGAGCGAAGGTGTTCTCGTAGCAATGAGTTACGCATTCATTCTACTATAAATCAAATGCTTTCCAGAACTAAATTGAGAACCTGGGTTGGTATTGGACGTTTGTGAGCAGCCAGATCTTGTTCAACAGGTGGAAAACGATCTACAAAGCATCATGGCAGGAGGAACAGCTCGTGATGTTGATATCCTTTTTGCGATATTATTGTAAATATGTCTAAGTGACAACGAACAGTGAAAGTATTCTTTGTGTCTGTTGTTGGCAGTGAAAAGTTCAGGGTTTAGGGTTTAGTTGTGAAGAGTTCAATGAACAAAATATCAGCTCGCACTTAAACCAGTCAGCGTCTGCACGAAGCATGTTGTGTTTCAAAAGACGAATAGGACACCGCCGAACATGACATCGGGTGTAAGAGGTGGAATATGTAGTAGGATCAGACCTTATCACTTTATGACACTTTGAAGGAGATTTTGAATCCTAGGTCTTGCAAATTATCTTTAAAATGAAAATACCATCTGTTGCTGCGTCATTTTTATTGTCGTATATTTGTGTCGTTTAAGCTTGGTTTGTGTTCAGCCTTGACCATGAGAGCACAGATAGTAGAACAAGAGGAGGATGCAGACGACGATGCAGAACCAGAAGAAGCACAGCCTGCGGCCAACGCTGGCGCTGTGTCAGAACCAGCACCTGCAAGTGTGATTTCTCCGATTCCAGAGGAACCTATTGGAGAGGACGAAGAAGATGAAGACGATGATGCGATGGACGAGGATGAAGATAATGAAAATTACTAACTCGATTTGTGTATGTATCTCTCAGCCGCTTCTGAACTAAAGTTCTGGCACTTTGTACAATATAACTTCAAGAACCCTCAACATATGTTACATATGTGGTCAAAGAGGATGTAAGAAATATGATCTCTGAGCACCAACTCTCTTACTTCCATATTGCGATTACATCGCTGGTCTGGAAGATGACATTGTCCTTTACTATCGCGCGCTCCTTCACCACCGAAGGGTGGTGGAAGAGCGCGCGAGGAAGTGCTTATTTTGACCGTGGAGAACGTAATACGTTTAAAAAACTTCGATTATCTTCAGATCTCCCTTCATATCATATTTCTTCTCTCCATGACTTTCTCAGTAGTTGCAGGGAGAGGAAAAACGGAGTAAACTGGCTGCCTCGCTAAGAGGATGGGAACAACCCGAGTGGAAACACGCGCAGGACATAAGTGGATTGGTTATAGTTTGTTCAGGATTTGTTGGAAAAACGCGATGTATTTTTTTATGAAAGTTAGGACCTTATGAATCGTTTGTGGAATTCTTGCGTCTACTTTATAAATGTCATGGTGACGATTAGCATGTTCTACAACTCAAGTAGTTCCGAGGAATAATGGATGGATAAGGCTAGTACATAGATCCTTTGCATGTTGGTTTTGTTCATTGATACAAGTGTCAATGTAGCAAATCTAAGTTTTTTATTTATGTTGACCTGGTAATGAATTTACGGAGGTTTACGAAGTGAACTGATTCGACTTATATTCTTCGGTAGATTTCATTCCCAAATTCACTCACGAGAAAGACAGTCCCATTGTTGTTGCTCGTCAATTTAGTACTATCTATACGGTTAATCTTTCAGGTGGCTGCCGGTGGATTGGGTAAACTTGATGGTGTGCTCCCTCATGACTCCCTCATGATGCTCAAGCTCAGTTTTGTATGTAATTTTCTTCTGTGTGCGCATCACCTGCTGTTTAGGTGTTAACTAAGACTTGTTGCTATAATTTTACTTCATTGAAAGGCAAAACGGAAGTTGAAATCTTTTGTCTCATTCTGCATAATCCTACCATAATTCTGCAAACGAAGTACCCGATAGGAGAGAATTAACGTTGTGTAATATGTTGATCTCGGGTAATAAACATCACCCAAGCCATGACATGTCTTTAATCTTGACAAAAAGTATTGTTCTACATCTGTAGGAAGACGGGAATGAGAGACGAGATACTTTGTCTTCACTTCGCTTGTGATATTAGAACCATTCAGTGTTAAATGCTTCACTAAATATTCATCGGAATAATATAATCGGTCATAAAACGTTGATGAAGGTTGAATTGTTGTGTAAGAACTGTTAATACGAATGAACATCATTGTTATATTTTAGATACAAAATCGAGACATGGAAAATCAACAATATGTGTGGAGGTTACAAAAGTGTGAAGTGTATCTTTGAATAAATTGTTTTAAGAGGTTTTTGCATATCAGATATATGGTAAAAAGATCAAGGTCGTGTACTAAAGGGTCAAAAGACTTAAAACGCAGTTCAAGCAAAAACCCACAAACAAGAGAAAATATACTAAAGATCAATCCCCAACTAGTTCCAAGAGCACTAGAAAAATCCCTTAATTGATATAACAACCTAAATGAATAGTTACAAGGTGGAATAAAGAAAAGAAATTCTCCACATCTATGTTATGAACAAGTCTAATCTTTTCATGTCTAGAACATGCAACAAGTGCATGTTCTTCATACTCAATATATCCACTATCGTGACATAACGTACTAAAACGTTCACTCCTATCAATATTGAACCATCCTACTTTCTCAATTCCCAACCTATGAGATACAGTTCTATTTTGAGTAATAATATGACGTAAAGATCTAAAGATTCCTGCAAATAGATATTCTTGTTCGTTGTAAACAAGTATAGGATTCACATGAAGTTGATAAAATGCATTTTGATGTAAAATGATTTAACTTGATCACCGATTCTAAGATATTTGATGATACTCCAATGTTTTGCAAAAAAAATGACGTGATATAATGTCAAATTTTTTCTTAAAATTGATGAAGGTGCAAAATAAAGCTTTCCCATTAGACTTAAATTTTTTCTATAGAACACACAAGGTCAAAATATGGTGCAATTCAATCCATGTGTTCAATTTTGATTCCAACAATTTGCCAAATAACTTGGCAAAAACACTAAATATCATGATATTTTGATAGTTTGTCACCAAGTGCTTACTTCTTGATTTGTGAATAGAAACAATATTTTGTATGGACCACGTTGAAGGAAAATCATAGATAGTAGCTTGTCTTTTTCTTGTTATCTGTTTCACAATGTAGCATTGATGCAGCATTGAGAAAAAAATATAGTTTTTCAACAATAGAAGTCAAACACTTGGATGAAGAATATTTTTTGAATAATTTAGTGTTAAACATCTTCATAAAGATTTGGTATCTTCTAACAGCGAATTTGTCAATGATTCTTGCTTCCTACACAAAAAAATCAATTTTTAGACTTCATCCAAATTTTGTAAAGCTTTGTCATAATCATCCAACTTAAGAGATCCAAAGATTTACCAACTGATCTTGTACTTGTTTGCTTGCAATATTTTTTATTATACTATATTTATAATTTTCTTACTTTTTTGTCAACTTTAGTTGCTCTGAAAGTGAAAAATTCATGTAGAATTTCAAAACTTGCGGATGTTAATGAAGTATCAATATAAATGTAAAAACTTTTATACGGCTTCTCGGGCTTTATTGGAAATTGGTACGCGCTTGCTATGTAAACCAAGGCAAAGCAGAGTCATTCAATAATTATATAATAAAATCTTATATGAAAAAGGCACTGGAAAAACCGATGTCCGTCGACGCGGTCGATTTTGAATTCTACACAACATATGAATCAAATCATGATGTCATTGCAAAGTTGTTCAATCTATCTTGATTTGAAATGCTAAAATATATCCAAAACATTCAAAATGTCTTGTTTGAGATGTTAATATATATCAAAGTGTTCAAAGTGTTGACATTGCACTAGTTTATTCCAAATGATGATAATAGAGTGCAGTCAACTTAAGAAAATAAAATAAAACATTCTTTTGATTAAATACCAATTTTATAATGCACATATATAGCATAGCATACAATCTACTCATCAAAAAATTGCATGATATAAAAGTTTTTATACTTAGGTATAGCAATATTGTTATTATATTAAAAAAATTCAATAGTATATTCTAATCACATTAATATCCAGTTTAACAAAATTTAAACATTTGAAATAAGAATCTGAGTTATTATATTACCTAAACTCACTTTCATAGATAAGTAACTACTTTCTAAGGTACACATTCAAAAAATAACTTCATATGAGTCATGAATTGAATTATGTTGAATGTGAGATTGCTCTAAGAGTTATAACTTCACGCCTTATAAAAACAACATAAATTTTATGTTACTTATTTGTATGCGCATAACATATTCAAAGATTTTAATACACACGGTGTGAAAGATATGTATACATACATGACAAAGTATTTTTTGTAAAAATATTTATTTTATCAATTGTGTCACGTCAAAATTTATGCATTGTAACATATTACGTCAAAAGTCAAAGATTGAACTACATCAACAGACATATAACAAGTTCAAATGGTCTGAATGACAATATTGTATATAGGAACAAAATTGTATAACATAGAACAATTGTTTCCTACTTACGGGTTAGATAAATTCCTTCAAATTCAGAAAGTGTACATTCTTCCCATAAATACACACTTCAACCTTGCACCTCAAAGTTTTGATTTAGATTATTTTATTTCAACTTGTAATAAAATAATTCGCATGAGCATATATCTTATCTCATAGTCGCTACTTATTCGATCCAATTAATTTTTGCCATTTCTCATTAATTTTTAATCGGGTTAATAAATCTAATCATAACCGACTTTGGTTTAGAAAAAAAATTTATTGAACGAATATAAAGTTATTTTTATATATTTTGAAAAAAAAGAACATATATTTCTTAGATATTTCTTTCAAAATATGAAATTCAAAAGGTTTATCCATACAAAAATATGTATTTTTCATCCATCAAAGATCTTTCAAATCTATTCAATTAGGAGAGTAACCATATATTCACTAGATGTGTCATTATGACTTAATTCAAAATCAACAGATTGAAATATCATGGATTACATGATAGTATCATGCAGCCAATATCTTGCCACATCATCATCATAGTAGATAAAATATGTTGAATTGCAAGAATCAGAAGATTGAAAAGTTATGTTTCTATTAAAAAATGAAAATTTTGTAAGTATTGTCGTGTGAATATCTATTGTCATACAACATACATTGCTGATGTGTCATATTCACACACATATATATAGAAAACAAGAGCGTACACATATACAAATGTGTCACAACTAGAATTTGTCGTGAAAATTTCATTAGCATGAACTAATCTCACACAAAGTCGAGTCAAGCTCACTTCACAACTAGTAGAAATTAGACATGTGCTAACGGGACATCATAGCTAATCCATTGAAAGCTACTCCCAACGCTGAAAGTTCAACTGAAGATTTTTTGAATCTTCACTTGCTTATACTCTCCAACTAGTCACTGTTGTCATTAACCTAGAATTGATTCAACTAGAGTTAACTCTTATCCGATACTGACTAATCATTACAAATATGGACATGACAATATGATTGCATGAACTACCTTTTTTAAGTAATCAACCTAAATTTTTAAATTTTTCAAATTTTGACAACCTATTTGAGCAATGAAAAAATATATAATTAAAATCTAAATCTTTATTCATTTCAGTTGTTAGAAATGATTTCATAAAAATAATCTGATGATTGAAAACTAAATCATTTGTTTCATGTGAATCTCACATGATTCTCATGTATTGATATAAAAAAATTTGGATATGCTAGGTGCTTTTTAAAAAATTTGTCAATAAACATGATGAATTGCATACATTAATTGAAAATATGAAAAAACTTTAGATTTTGGATTTATTAGAATATTAGAATGTAAAATTTAAGAAAAAAAATTAATTGAAATTGATTTTTTAAAAATATATAATTTTTATATTATTATTAAATCAAATATAATTTTGCTATCAAATTTTATCAATAATTTTTGGAAAAATTGTTATGAAAATTTTTTCAAATAATAGAAAAAAATCTTGTTAGATGATCACAAAATTAATATCTTGGAAAGAAATATAAAATATTTTATATATTTATTTGAAATAATTTTACACACGTTATTTTACACACTTCTATTTTATGATTTATTTTGATTTCAAATTCAAATATCAAGTGATAAATAGCATTTAGATTATCACCTAAATTTTGAAATACTGCAGTCTACATTCTATGTTTGATGTAGATTTCAACAGAATGTAATTAATGACCTTCAACATAACTTATGGAATGCATTATTTGATGTAAAATACATCTCGTCAAAAATTTTAAACTTTTGAATGTCATAATATGTATGGTACTATGTAAACAAATAAATTTGATCTCATAGATTAGTTTGCACATAATCATGAGAAAAGTCAAGAACTCACAAGCACACTAGCTGAAATATGTGGTTTGTCATTGAGAAATATTTACATTCAAATACAAAAGACTTCTATGGATCAAATTCTAAATTGTGCATATTAGAACTTTCTTGACTTGTCTTAAATAATGACAGTTTAACTTCAAATAACTTGAGTTCGTAGAAGATGTGACTTGATTAAAAAAATAAAATTCATCAACAAAAAATTAATTGGATGTCATCAAATAACAAAATTATATACTATAATATCCAGCAACTAAGATTAAAACATGGACATAGTGAATTGACTAGATGTAGTTTATTAATTTTGATATGATATGATTATCTGTGGATGATTATAATGATATATGATCTAACTCGAGAAATCATCGCTACTAGACCTCATGGAACTTAGCATTGCAAGTATTGTGTACTATGAGGGATAAATCTTCCAACCATTTTTCTGTTGAGATATGCAAGGAGTGTCCAGACATCTTGATTTGATTGGTCTGGGAGGTGCATGGAGCACCATGCACCTCCCATACCTCAGGCGGCATCTCAAGTATTGGATGCAATATTTCAGACAGAAAATTTGCATTGGCAGCTATTTAGCTTTCACGGATGAGAAAAAAAAGATGGCTTCAATTGAAGATGCGTAATTTTTTCTCCCCGTCACCACGAAGGTGTTTAAGTAACACATGAGTCTACTTTGGATACAGAATACATTATAAGTTCTTTATCGATTACTTTTTCCCTTTCTTTATATTCTTGTTGACGGGATTTTTATCTCGTTTTTTATTACATGCTCCTCCTTCTCCATCCAATCCACCATGTGGACCTAATAATATCCAAAAGGCTCGTGAACCAGTCATCGATTGTTACAACTATGGCAAATTCTCATTCACTCAAATTTTCGAACATTCTTCCAGTTATGTTGCTCATGCAGCTCTTCGTCCTATTCATCGTCCAAATCACCTCGACCGGGACTCGCCCAGACCAGCAGTACCATCATCTGCCATGGCCAAAGATACATTTGCATTGCATGATGCAGCATCGATCGGTAGGCTGACGCAACACACAAGACACTGTGGCCGACAGATTTACTCCAGCATAAAGTCATAAAGTACGACTTCAAGTCTTTTCAGTGGACCGACTCCCTGAATTAAGAGGCCTAATAGGACTGACAGGGGCCAGCATGTTCACCCTTGTCGAGGCTGACGTGGAGCCCGGTGCTCGATACCGTGAAGATCGATGACTGCGAACCATGACCGGGTCTCCATCCACCGGAGGTGAGAAGACATGGAACCGGAGTTCCCGGTCGACTCGCTACAAACGGAGGTCGTCGATGCGCGAATTCAGAATCGAAGGGTGCTGATGGTCACCGTCGCGGCTGGGTTCCAACCGTTTGAAAACAGCCTGGTGTCCACAATCGGGACAGCGGAGTGCAGTACGAGCCTCGTGTACAAAGGTACAGCCGTACCCCTTGTCCGTGATGAGGCGATTCTCACAGAATGTTCGGAGCCGAGAGACCTCGCCGTCGACACTCGAGTCTCATTCGACTCAGAGGTCCTGGCTCGGGGGCTCTGCCTTCTTCCGCTCGTCGTCGTCGTCGTCGTCATCATCATGCGCCGACGATGCTGCTGCTGCTGCTGCGGGTGTCTGAATCGGGCGGGATGCAGCGGCGCTCTGATTGAGACGCGAGGCGGAATTCGATCTTGACGCCGGAGAATCGAGTCACGTGTGGGGAAATTGTGCTGGGTTTCCAGCTTTGGCCAAATGTGGCAGGAGGAGGCGCGGGAGGAGATATTCAAAGCGGAGGAAGGGGAGGTCAGGAGGCGGAAGGACGGCGGATGGGGCTGGCGCAATTGTCGTGGCAATTCTGTGAAGAAGGAGCGGGTGCGAGCGAGCGAGGCAGGCGTGAGTGATGCCGGCACGAATTTGGTCCCGCTTGTAGGTCGCCCAAATCTCTGCTCTCGCCTGCCTCTGGCTGGCAGCAGCATGGCGGGGACGGTCTGAGCATCTAGGAATTTGTCTGTGCGGTCGGTCGCTTGTGGAGTATCGGAGACCGCGGGCGAGGCGGACGAGGGTTGACATGGACGAGAGGAAGAAGAGGACATTGGGACTCCTGCTTTTCTTGACCGTACAGGTGGTGAGTTTGGCCGTGTTGGAGCACCAGCAGCAGACGGACACTCAGCAGTCGTTCTCCGGGGGTGGGCCTTCCGTGACCACGCAGATGCTCATCCCCGTGCTGGCCATGTGGGAGTCGATGCACACCACGGCCATCGTTGCATACTTGAAGCGCCGCAATGTCTGTCGGACTTTGTTCGGCGAAGAGGAGAATGGCGACGAGGTGATAGACGAGGTCGTAAGCAAGAGGAGGAAACGGGACACCTCCGAGAAAGACAGACTGGCCAACATGTTGATGTCGAGCAGCAAAGCCATGCAGAGTGCTTTTGCGGAGCACATTCGCGGACACATAGACTCGAATGCTCTGAATAGCGAGATGGACAGAACGCAGAGGAGAGAGCAGAGCAATCAACTGGTGACAGTCTTGGGGGAGTTGGCCGAGGTTTTGGCTTTCATTGCAGACAAATTGTAGGGAGGATTCTTCAGATCTTTGAAGAGAGTCTATTAATATGAAACAGCCCTCAGCTCGTCCATTTTGATTACCGACTCGAAGGACGTCTGCCAGCGGAATACGATCGCAAGTTTGCGCTTCAATCAGGCCAAAGTTACTCGCAGGCGACGTGTTTTCAGTCAAGTGATACCGTGGAGCATGCGATGATCTAATTTTCATCGTTTTCTGAACATTCCGCAGTTGGCCAAGTACTTTTGCCTGCACACATCCTGTGCCCAGTCATCCAAACGAGGGCCAATTGCTCTTACTTTCGCGACGTCAACGTGCTCTTCAAAGCTAGAAGAGGTAAGGCTTAGAACTTGAGACATCTTTGACATACTGTAGACCGGCGTTGGCTCGACAGCTCTGCCCCAGTGCTAGAAGGGCATCAGTTTGAGTGGCGCATGTCATAGTACATACTCCTTAAGAATCGTAGGCTGAATTGGGAAGCCTGATGTTCAACCAGAAGTTAAGGGCTACGAACACTTCAGTCTCGGAGCTTAGTTATGGTGAAATTGCCTGTTCATGGTTCGCAGCTCCTTATTACACGAAGTAGGAAGATGGAACTAGTTGTGGAGGAAGCACCAGTGCGACTGGCGCTAGTCAAGTACTCCTTGAAAATCGTAGGCTGAAGTGGGAGGTATGATCCACAATCAATATGTATACGCTACGAGCGCTCTTGTCTCCGAGGAAGGTCCTGTGGAAATTGCCTTATGGTTGTGTTTCGCAGCGCTTTACTCCTCAACGAGACTGAGAGCAACTGAAATGTAAAGATGTGCGCCGGGAGCGCACGGTGTCGTAACCAAGTCCTGTGATTATATCTCGCTGCCTACGAGTTCCAGCTTCTTTCGGCGAGCTTTGTCAAAAGTGACTAAGTTTGGATCTGTAACTTTATGTGTTGGGTCTCGAACTTTTCCTTGACACGTACTGAGCATGCCGATCACAGCATCTACTGCCGTAACCGTTCTCTTCGACTTCTTATCTCGGGCAACCGAGATTCGACTTTGGACTCGACTTTTTCACCGGGAGCGAATCCTCTCCCCCCACTCCGAAATAAGTTATCACTACCGAGGTGGCCGTTGTAACTATGTAGCTTTACCCGCTGAAGATCAGGACATTTTGGAGGGTGGACCTACTGTTGGGGCCTCGAGGGTAATCTGTATACAGAATCCAAGTCGTATTAATATCCAATGTCCCGCCAAAGCGGCCGATTCACCTGTGATCACTGTACTTAATGTTTCTCCAGACTCAAGGGCCCGAGGGCCTGCCTTTCCGTGAACTCAGCCTTGGCGAGGAGGATGTTAGCTGTCGGCACACACGCGGATGGCTTGTTCGATGTGACATCGGGCTCTTGCTTCGTGTGGAACAGAGCACAGTCTGCTAGTCAGCGAATCCTAGGGAGAGTTATGTGTCCGTCCTACAGCAGCGCAATTTGGAGCTCTTGAGGTAGTTTTCATCCTCGGTGTCTGCCTTTTGACTGCGTCTGGTTTTCTCAACTTTTCGCCACTGCAGCCAGAGCTTGAGCAAAAACTCGTCACGTGAAATTCCCGGCGCGATTCTCTTATGGTCTTTGATCGACGTTGACGTGGATATGTTTTTCTTCTTGCGGTTTTTCTCCACCATTTTACGGCCTCCATGAGATTTTAGCTCTCGATTGGGCTGATTTTCGCATCCCTATGTAGAGGAGGGGTTTGTGGACAAGGCCGAAGAGAGTCAGTAAACTTTTCAATGTAGAACAAAATATGGGATGGGAACTGGTCAATGAAACAGATGGTTCGCATTCCAAGCACAGTAGATGGAATATCTCTCTGATCTGTTGCGCGATACGGAGGCCAACCTCGAGAAACAAACACGTGAAAAGCAGAATTCATAATAACTTGCTTCGGTGAAATCGAGAATGGGCGCACGTTATACTTGACATATCTCTACATCCATACTATATACACAAATATGTGATAATTCTATACCAGAAACTGCCCAAATAATATTACATCCATGGCCTATTTCCCTACACTCTACACACACTACATAAAAACATGGGCTCCAGAAAGCGGAAGCCTAATGCCTCTTATTATCATTAGATGAGGTCTTGATTCCATGCAAACCTGCATACATGTACGATGTTCGTGTAGATTTTGGAATTGTGTTTCAATGTGTTCTCGCAAGGTGGAATGAGGGTGATGGCACTGCGGGAAGTGAAAGAAGCGAAGTCATTGGCATTCGCGCTGCGCTCTATGAGGATTCCGGATGTATATCAAGATAGAACACATTGGCAAAGTGTCTTTAATGCGTGCTGGGTTGTTACTAATTATCTATTTATTTTGAGTTGTCGAATTTAGATTATGTGTATACTATGTAGTACGTTGAACGAACTTCTAGCATGACAATTTGCCAAAGGAATTTGGACATAGTTTAAACTGAACACAATGATAATAATGTTAATTTTATTTTCAAATTTATTTAGATAAATATTATAAATAAATAACATATTGAAATTATAGAATATATTATTTTTTGAAGAAAAAATTCTATCAGAATCTACCAACATCCATTGAATATATATTTTATTAATAGGTTATAAACACAATCTTTCGATTATATTAGTATTGAAATTTAGCGAGAAAGACTTGAAGTATTTTGCATCTTTTAAATTTGAACAACATTTTGACGAAGCCTTAAAAAAAAAAATGACTTGACTTGAGGAAACTCAAAACATATGATGGTATCCTATCGGCGGCCTGTAGCCCACCGTTAGTGATGTTCCAATATGATTATTTTGGGTAGAAACATGAGACCATATCGGTAATACTTCAGATTTATGGTGACTATCGGGTAAAATAAAACTTGTTGGATCCTTAAAGAGTATTGAGTTTTCTAGAGTCCAATCAAGTAATTTCTTGTTTAAGAAAACATAGAATTTAAATCTAATTCTTAGAATACATATGCTAAATTTATACAAAAAATCACGTTTTATGTCAAACATAGTATTAATTTTTATGTAGTCAAAATATTATTATTTATTAAATTTACTTTCTGTATTTTATTAGCTCAAAATTGTTAAGAAATATACTTCATGTAACAAAATTGTTACTGTGAAATGTCTTGCGTTGATAAGTGAGTCAAATCATTTGAATTTCATATTTATTTACTTATTATAATTATATTCAATTCTGATTATGTATAAATTAAATTTGGTTTAAAAAAAGCCTATGTTTTTAGGATGTTTTGTAAAGTAATATTATTTATAATAAATATTTCATATCTTGATAAATGAATACATTTTATGACTACAATCATGTATTGTTTAATTCTGGTTTGTAGACAAATAATGAATCATATAATTTTTTTCATTTTATAAGATAAGATTAGAAAAATTCTCTTCAATATAATTTTAGAGAATTCATCATGAAAATTTTATTATTGAGTACATTAAAAAAATCTGTGTCAAATTAATTTTTGTGAATTTTCATAGAAAATGCCTAATAATTTCACAATTTTAGATTAATAATCTAGATAACAAGTTGTATTTACAAAAATATTATTATTTTAAAAACCCCAAAAAAAATGCATTTGCCAAGCTCGTAGCTTATCATCTCAATTGATGGATTATTTGTGAAATAATAGTGATTTAATAAATTTTTTGATTTTATGGTCATCATTTAACTAAATCAAATTAGGTGAAATAAAACGAAAACCAAAAAAAAATTATCAAACCAAAACATGACAATGATGATTATAAATAATGGTTACGATAACTTGAAAACAGATGTGACAATGATTCAAAAAAACATATGCAGCATGAAAAAAACAGGTTTGTATGGTAACTCTTCTTTTAAAACCTATTTTTGAAATGAGTAAGAAAAAACAAGCATAGGAGAAAAAGATAGGTTAGTGTTGATTTCAGTTTAGCTCTTGCTTATAATTTAACTCAATGAAGTACAAGAGGGACTGATAACGAAGATAGAGTTCTATCAGTGTGGTAACTTAGTTTTTCATTTTTTTCCCGCAAAGACTAAGTTTGAGAAGTAGAAGACTAGTAATTTCAAACTTTTAGGATAAAAATATTACGAAGTAGAGTAAACAATGGATTCTGGAGTAAAATCTTAGTTAGGAGTAGTGGAATCCATTTAGATACTTCTCTGTTCGATTTAGTATTTTTACTTATAGGTAGTGAAGTTGAATTAGATAAGTTATGATCCACTAGAGTAGATGATTCATAACTTTTTCAAAAAGTGGAATTTTGCTTTAGACAGGGTTTCAATAGATAAGGCTCAACGTGCTCGTTCCAATGAGCCCAAATACACCGGAAACGGGTAAGTGAATCCCTATTTACAAATGTATGCAGCGAAAGACATGGTTCGGCGAAGGCACAGTACCGCCTTTGGCGATAGCACCTTGGGCGTTACAGCGAAAGAGTCTTCGGAGAAGTGAAAGGCGGCGCCAAACGTAAGGGAAATTCAAACATTTGTAATGTCAATTCCCACGAGTTCACAATGCGGTTAGGGCGTTGAAGTACATTGGCAGAAGCGGAAGTTCCGCGCCGACATTTCGCAAGAGAGCATTTGCAAATTGGAAGCTCAGTGAGAAATTGATAATGCAGCAATGAAGCAACCTTGGACACTTTGATTGTCAACGTTGAAGGTGTCAGAAATTGGATTACGAGCATAACGGCAAGAATTGATAACTATCAAGCTTGATTTCTTGCTATGGGGTTGGAATTGAATTTCCGCAACAATCGTGAAGGAGTTGCACGAAGTATGCGTGATGGACGTTGAAGGATTTTGCGGCAACCCGAAGAGCTGGATCATTGATCATTGGACACAAGTCTTTGGGCCGTGCGTAGTAGAAGATGGCGATTACACCTATGACAACGAGAGCGTGAAGGTGATACATGAGGAAGAGAAGACCTTCGCAAAGCTTTTCAAGACATCTCGTTTGCGCAAGAATTGATGGCGGACGACAGAATACCACGATCGGATGAAACGGAATGTGGCAGTGGCATTGATGCAGATTCTGCGACCGTCAAGAACAACTTACATGACAACTTGGTAGGTCAGATTCGTGGAACGCGCGGTACGAGGAAGCCGATCCACATTACTCGCATTCTCTGAAACACTACGCACATGAACATTGATGAGACATTCGGGGGATGGATGAACTATTTGTCCCCGTTGTTCATTAATTTCTACCGAGAAATGGGATTGTTGACTGTACAAAGCATGAGAAATTGTCGCTCGAGAGGAAAATTGCGGACAAAGAAGAAGTGCTGGGAGACAATGAAGTTGCTAGTGAGGAAAACAACATTGCACCTCCACCGCCTTCGGCCGAAGCTGATAAATCGGAGGACGACATCAAGGAACGACGAGCGAAGAAGCGGCGAAAATTGCAGAGGGCTACAACTTCGGAGATGGTGGATCAACGTGTAGGATTGCGAGGCCAAAAACCGGTTCCTACACGGATAAGCACATCAAGTGTCCGTTCCTGCAGCAAGATGAAGCCGCGATGCCAACAAATTGAGAAAGAAGTTAGTACATGGTGTAGCAAAGCAACATAGCAGCATCTAATGACTTCGGCGAAGTGGGCAGGAATAGAAGACGAATGGTTTTCGGAATGAAGACCTTCGGCCATGCCCATGGAAGGTCTATTGGAGGAAGGGGAAGAACGAAAAGGTGATACGGAGATAGAGACTTCAAGTCAGAGTCCTCGGCCTTCGGAACAACCACCAGCACCTTCGGCCGAAGATCTTTGGTCTTCGTATAAGAAGACTTCGGATGTACCAGCAAAGTTGGAAGAATCGGTTGTGGAGTAACTTATAGATGGAGTGGTGGCGAAAGTGGAGAGTACTGTTGCGAAACAATAGGCGATGCCTTCGTGTCATGTGTCTTCGGGTTCGGTCGATTTTGACTGTGGCGAAAGGCCTTCGGCCAAAGAACCGAAGACAGCAAAACCTAATGTAGTTGACATTTTGAGTGATCGGATACTTCTCTTACTCAGATATATGGATGACAAGAGAGCAAAGTACGCTGAGCTAAAGTTAGCAGATCCTACGTAGAATTGGTGCGTTGTAGTACGAAGACGAAGGTGGCACCATCTGTGCAGGTAGTAAAAAGAGTGGTAAGCTTAATTTCTGAGTGCGCGGCCAAGACAGCTGTCTTGGAGGAGAGAGAAGAGCAATTTCAACAGAAGGAGTTAGAATGTGCAAAACTTCGGAGAAGTATCTTCATACGAAGTCAGAGCTTGACTCCAATGGCCTTTAGATCAACATCAGCAATGCGCAGAAGTTAATGGTGAAACTTCTGGACATATTGGAATTGTCTTAGAAGGGATTTGCGAGCAAATTGAAGCGCGCGGAGGAGCTGACGGCAACTCTAAATGTGAAAGATCAATCGCATGTTGCTGGTTTGGCTCTGAAGGCGAAGGAATTGTAGGATTGTGAAGCTGGCCGGACTTAAGAGTTAGAGCCTAGGAAGGAATTAGACGTAGATTGCAGCAGGTTGCAATCTCAACTGTCGGCAATTGAGGAGCAGTTGGTCGCAGCTCAAGCAAAATTGCTGAACACGGAGTCGACAATCCAACAATTGGAACGGCGGACGGATGATGAATTGTGCACAAGGGTAAACCGATGTCTTTGCGGTTATGTGGAGTGGGAGGTCCAGACCTGAAGTGGATGAAATTGGTTGAGTTGGAGCGTCGAGTGAAGTAATTGGAAGCCAATAGAGTCGCGGGACATCGGCAATTAGGTAGGAAGCTCAATTCGTTCATCTCCGGTTTAAAAGAGACGAAAGAGAACCTGAAATTAGAACTGTCACCCCTTTTGAGTAGGATATGTGTAGATAGGAGCTCAACGGGCGTGGCAACTGCCTCATCTGCTGAGGTCACACCTGATCGGGGCTTGCAGCTAGCGGATGATGCCTCCGAGTGTTCATTGTGAATAAAGAGTCCCAAGGCTCTAACTTCGGGGGGCTTTTCCATTAATTAATTTCTTAGACTTCATTCTGCATTCCTCTGCGCGTGTGTGAATTGTGTGTTTTGTCACCTTGGGCGAGTTGCTTCAGTTTGTCGAAGATAGCGCATCTGAAGTAGAGAGTCCAATTCAGATGTTCTGAGTGATGCATAGTGTAGCTTAGGATTTAAACAAATTTGTAGAGTAAAGCTCGGTGCAACCGGCAGAGTGTGTAATCTTGGGAAATTTTCCCCCTTAATATCAATTGCGGAGTTAAGTGCGGCTTCTGTGAGAAATTATTTGGTGAATTTCAGGATTCGAGTGTGGTTTCATCCTGCAATGTGTCGTATTCGGCCGTAGCAATTGCAGTCTCTTCTGGGAGTGACATTTGACTAAGAAGTAAAACTTCTCAATAGAATGTTAATGTGTGACACAACTTGGTTCTCTGATATTGTTTCTATTCTTGTGGAATCGGATTTTTACCATTATGCTCCATTTTGCTAATTGTCTATTATTACAATCAATTTGAAAATGAGAATAGAAACAATGGTTTTTTGAATTCAGGGGAAAAGAAACAAGTCAAGGCACTTAGTAGCAAATCTAATAGGCAAGCAGCCATGTGGAACATTAAGAAGGAAAAATTTCTTGATAGTAATATAAGAGACTTTAAGATGATATATTTTCCACCCAAAAAAAAAATCTAAAAGTACAGGAGAAAAGGTTTTCACTTCATCCATACAATTCCTTGTGTATCAATGATGAGACAATGTCAATTCCGAATGAACAAAATGTTGTCATATCATCACAAGATAACATACTAACGCATTTAAATTATCATTTAACAAGCACACAAACTATTCATGTGATAAGTATAAATAATCCATTACAAATCAATGTGATCTTACCCATATAACATATCTTTCCTTCTTCATTCTATCCTATTTTGGTTCGTAGTCATTAAAGATTAGTAAGAACCAAAATGCAAGACTAAAAATCAAGATATGGAGACATGGTGCGGACCAGAAAACACGGGAGAACGGGATTTGGGTATAGGTCGGATGGTTTCGCTACAACCGATGAGTTTTCTAAAGTTTGACAATATATCATGAGATTTGGTAATTGCACTCATCAAGCAACCAAGTTTTTTCAGATCTCGCAAATTGTGAGGGACGTTTTATACGTTTTGGAACATGGAATGAGTTTTCATAGCTTTCGCAATGTGCTACGAGTTTTCTCAGGTTTCGACGGTTTTTTTTAAAACAAAGAAGCGACAAGTTTCTCGAGTTTTACATAGATCTGCAGAGTTTTTCACATGTTTCATTCGCAGCGAGGGAGACATAGCGTTGTGATAGAAAAGTCAAATAAAGAGGTATTAACTCTACAACAAAATGCTCGTGCGTTTTCCTAGAAAAACAATGTCTAGACAACGTTTGCCAAATGCTCTGTGGAGAGTACTGAAAAAATTATGTCTAAAATAAACTTTACGATTGGTTAATAAAAATTGATACACTCAGTATAAGAACCTATAGCACAATTCTTCACAATCATGTTATGATCTTGAATCCGAGCTCCAAGTAACTTCACTGCTAAGGGAAAATATGTGTTACCTTTCTCTAGCATTTTTTTTTATAAACTTGGCTGCTGCCGCGAAACTCACGGCTTATTCATGATAATGTGTAATCTTCAAATCATAGAGTGTATTTTGTGAAATGAATGATCTGCTATCAACACATCTACAAGAATACATAGAAGAATCATTCTCTACTTTATGTTGCGGGCTACTTTTTCCTTTCAAGGATTCATAGCAAATATATCATGCAACTTGATCATACATACAGTCAGACATCCATACACACCACGCTGTCGCTGCTTGTGTAGTCAAAGGTGCAAGCATAACTGGGTTCTGGTTAAACACATGGCCTCATATACTGTTCTATGCTATTGAACTCACCATCCACAGGCTCGATGGTGACCAGAGAATGATCCACATGATGTTCTTTGAGTCCTACAGCCCGAACGAATTAGTTGAGTTTAGATTTAGGTTTCGGTCAGGAGGAGTGATTGATTGTCTTGAAAGATGGAGTGTTGAATATCAACCGAGAAAGGTCAAAAAGCGCCTATTTGCACGAAGTTTCACAGCACCCACGTCAAACGGTTGTCGATACTTGGATCCGATCTACACGACTTCGACGGGGCTATGTCGTCATGATTCGGCGAAACATCCTCACGTATTTGTAAGAATCAAGTCCTTTCTCTAGACTCAGATCTTCGTCAACTGAAAGCAGCTTCTTGAGCAAACAGACGTGCTCCAATCTTGCATAGGTGGCTGTTGATGCCCGAGCATTGCACTGTTGTGGAGTTTTAACTCCTGTAATTAGAAATCTTGTGAAGAAATTACACTGATTTCTGATCCGAAGAACTCCTCGAGCTTTTGGATGAAGTCATGCAGATCGTACAACTGAGACCTAGTTACCCCACGAAGTGCATATCTAACCATAGTGCTCAAGAGACATGCTTCACACTTCTACAAACACCAGTGATTGAGTAGGCTGTGAAGATTTTGAAGCAGAAGATATGAGCTGAACGCTGAGGGTGATCTTTATTCCCCAATGTAGCCACTGCACATTGCTGTACAACCTCCTGCTCTGCAGAGCGAAACAAGGATGGGAAACTAAAGCGTAAAGAGGTGACTTGGGTCATAAAGCTGCCATGCCCATCTTCAGCTGCTACGATATCTCGATCTGTGAAACATGCTCTAGTATATAGGATTGGATAACTATACTTTTAGATGATTCTGTGGTCTTCGTTGTATCTATTCGACTTTTGATGCCATTGGTGAGAGCCCGTGACCCACTGTCTGCATACTCTCGTGTACTCTGCCACTGCGTTCTGACTCGAGTAGGGAGCTTCCACCTGCAAGTAGGCCGCCGCTGTCTCTAGGTCATTGATCCTGTTGTTGATCATTTCCATGGCGTGAATTGCTGCTTCCATGTACGAGCATCCATGTTCTTGACTGATGACGAAGACCAGATTGTGAGGATCCCCACGCTTTAAGACCTCCTGCCATTTCCACAAAATTTTGTAAGAGTCCAGAAAGACTGAAATCCATCATTAAAAAGTACATTGCTTCCTATCCCAACAAAGGTGCAACTCAGATCGCTGGCACAGCTCTAGCTGAAATATCAACCGGTTCAAATGTACTCAAAGGTGACTGAGAAGCTCTTGTGACAGTCATGAACGGAGCTACTTGCTTGAACACAAGTCATACTCTACGTACTTTTATATTGTTACTACTCGGTGTTTGGATTAAACTATCGTCGATGCAGGGTCAACTAGCATTGGCATCATACCTTAGGAAAGGAGTACACATCATTGTGCCACGCTGTAACATCAGAGAGAGCTCTCAGGAGTCTTTGCATGTGTGGACCGTAGAAAACATAATTTGGAATTTCGGGCCATTGTCGAGCTTTGACGAAGAGATCTGTCACGACCTGCAGACAGCTAAATCTTGTCAGACTGCTGAAAATCTACCGTACCAACTGCGAAATGACAGTCTCAGATATTGCTATTCATGTCGCATTCAGCTGAGCTATCAAACTGAAGGTTCGGAAGGCAGAAAACCATCTATGAAGCCTCCTACTTGGGAACCACTAGTTACTTCTCAGCTTGATTAAATTCTCGCATCGATGAGCTGATCGTCATGAAGACATGCTTGAAGTATGAGGGCAGCGAGAGCCTTGCGTGTCATTTGTTGGGCTTTACCAACAGGTGATGGGCTGATGAGAAAGAAGGCTTACGATAAGGGGCTCCATGCCAACAGATTGCCTTCGAAGGGGAATATAATCAGCCAATGTAGTGGGAAACGCTTGCGACTTTCTATTCTTCGTCTCACTAATACATCCCAGTAAGTAGTTCTGTATATATCGCGCCATTCTCAGGCCGCATTCATGTGGCAGGCTTTCACAGTACTCGAGCCACAAGTCCCTGAAAGCTGATGATATTGGTTGCAATTTCAAACTCATCAGTCCTGCAACAACCAACCATGCAAACATCACCACAGGTCAGCAGGCAGTTCTGATGTTAATGAACTTCCACTTCTGCAAGGTCTTGGCTTGTGATGATGGTTAGATTCCTCATGTCTCGAGACTAATTTCATGTTTTGAGTTCTACATCATTCAGAATGCAGACCGAGATATATCGCAACAGCATCTTTCCAATCCAAAGAGGATTCAAATGTGTGTGTGTGTGGAAACCAGATTACAGATCGCCAGTGTCTGAGGAAATTGCTGGCAACGAAGGTTAGAAACCAAGACGACAACTCGATCATTGTTTGTGTGGTGGGGTGCGTGAGACCAGCCCAGGAACGTGACGAAGACCAATCAATCACCTGAACGAGAGCTGGTATAGGCGTAGGCGAGGGATTTCGAGAAGGAATTAACAACATCGTCGCGTTGGTCGGCGGAGACACAATTGAACAAAGGCTTCAAGTACTGGCGGAGATGAGGGTCTTCAGAGAAGAACCACATGAGAACCTTGTTGATTTCGAGGATGAGAGTGGCCGCTTTATTGGGATCCTCAATCACCTCCGGCTCGTCCAACACGTTATCCAGAATGACGACCAGAGCCACATACTTGCAACACCAAAGAAACTCCTTGGGCTGCGTGTCCACGTACACATGACCTGCCAAGCCCGGGATTTCCTCGTCCATGAACTTGTTCCATGCTTGGGCGCCCACCTGCGTGTCGATATGGTGTCGAGCCAACCACCTGTACGTCTCATCGGAGAATTCCGCTGTCAGAGGATGCACTTCGCTGATCTCATAAGGCAGAACGAACTCGGGTACATCGTACTCCTCCTCGTGATTTATCAACATCTGAGCCGACGAGGCTGCTACTTGCGTTCGGTGGCTACTTGCCTGCCAGTGCGAGACGGATTCCCCCGTATACACGACCGCTCCGGCCTTGGATGCCAGATTGTTCTGCACCGCCACCTTCACCGCCTTCTTGCCTTTGCCACCTCCGGACATGGCTTTCGACCCCATGCTGAACACTCGCGAGAAATTCCGCTGCGCTTTCGCCGCCATCGAGTACATGTCGCTGACCCAACCCAACAAGGGCGACTTGTCCCCTGTGCACACAGCACAGACATACAGACGCACGGATCCTCAGAATTTCCACAAGCAGCAGGAGCAGCAAACAGAGTGCGACGATGATTGTCCAGCAACGCGGCAAGTCTCAAAGACTCCACTCTCTGAGTATGCATGCGAATTGCCAAGGCCCACCGAGGCTCAGAACATACCCAAGTCCTTGAGTGTATTCGAGACGTAAGAGCCGAGATTCTTCGTTGACTTCTGCCTGGATCTGATGATAGCCCCATTGTCCCTCGCAGACATGGAATGGATGGATGCTCTTACTTGTACATGCCTGGAAGATCATGATCGAACGAGGACATGAATATTCCCCTTTGAACCAAACAATTCTGTCCATACATACAACGCAACCTGCAAAGCATGAGTTCCGAACTCACCGTAACTCAGCTCCCGAGTCTGGCACTGCGTTCCTCTGATGCGAACTGTGCACGCCTGAGTGAACAGCTCGGCTAACATGTCAGCAGCAACCCAGATCCTCCCTCCACCCACCTCCAATCCGTTCGTGAGCAGGATGTTCAGACTCGGGCCTGTGTCAGTCAGAACCTCGGCTGCTGCTCCATCTGAAGCCAGCCAGCCAGCCAGCCAGAGAGTCAACCACGCAGTCGACCAGACATGTGGGTCGCAAAATCTGTCACTCGTTCAACTCCGATTACGAAAACCAGCTCCAGCTCGAGGGCGAGAATCGCTGCGCGACCAGAACTCGCAGGTGCACACTTTCTCGAGCATAATTCGGTGGGATGGTGAGCCGGACGCACACATCGGAGTCGGGCTGCTCGGTCCTTCGCCGGGACTGGATTGGAGACGGATGTGTGCATGTTTGAGTTTGTAGATTGGTGCAACATTGCGAGGCCAGCTCAATCCTGTTTTTACTGTCACCGGCCTGACGACGAATCGAAATGTGTAATGATATGGAAGTATTGGTCGTGTATGATCATGTGGGGCCCCTGGGGCATGGGAGCATTTGTCCTCCGGTCCGTTCCCGAGATTTATCCAATATCTGGGTTTGACTTGGAGTCCTGGACGCAAGTTGAGTCGGTTATGGGCGAATGAGAGACGGACAGTCGTAGGATTCAGAGGGGAACGTGCTTCTGAGCCTCATGATCCCATTGGCAACAGCTCCACTGAAAGAGGCCTCGTCTATTCTTGGCTAGAACGTCTGTAGGTCCCTGCCTATATACAACGGGGATATGCCCGGCATAGAATTCCCGCTCTCTTGTCACATGCCCAAAAGCGGCCAGTCTTCCAGTGCAGTCGTTCTTACCCACTGGACGTGGTTACTTTCATCGCATCGGATTGGGTAAATAAGTGGATTACAGTACTGATTGTGACAATTTTGAGTCTAAAATCTGGTCAGAAGTTGGAACATTCTCACGAGAATAAGTATACAGGATATGATCACGCAAAAATCCGTGAATGAATTCATCCCCTTCGTTAGATGTACTGAGTACAATCACATGAAGATTGATCTATCAACGAACCACTGTCGATAGGAAAATGTCAAAACTCTTTTTCTTTCAATAATGCAATGATCATATTCTAGATCTTCAATATCAGTAAGGTTTCTTTAAAAAAAGCTATAAAGATATTGATATGAAAATATATCATGAATATTACGAAGTTGTATTAAAATGTATAAATATTTATATACAACATCAAAAAATTATAAGGTTTTTTGTTAGAACATACTTTACTTTATCTGATATTATGAAATAAAATTTAATTTTTTTAATAGGTATTTCAGTACTAGAGCTTTATATCGAGTAAATAGCATTACGTAACCGAATAAATCCAATAGGGGACATAAAATTGAAGTGATCTCAAAGCTGATAATAAAACACAGAAGATGAAAGCAAAACATGTAACATATTATTTGGTTTTAAACTTAAATTCATTTCACTACGGGAAGAGATTCAGTCCTACATAATTCCATCAAGAGCAAAAGTTTGATGTAAAGCCAAAACTTATGGGATGGTCTAAGATGAATGACATTAAATAAGATATGAGAATTAGCCAAGGGTCATTGTTTCATTGTTACAATCAATATCCTTCCAACATTGGATTCAAATTTTCATTTTGACCAATTTTAATACATTAGGAGTTTACGTAGAAATTTACCAGGTGCTCTCATGCATTAGATGGATTGCATGCCAATTGATGCCATTAGTGTACCATTGTATGGAACTGTAATCTTATAGCTTTATCAGAAGTTGTTATATCCACCAAACATAAAGACCCAATTTTGGCATGAAATAATGATTCCTAGTACCGCTTATAAAGTGAGTGAAGTAATATCTTGACAGCAATACATCGTGATGCATATTAAGCTTACTACGTCTAGCTAGTTTTAGAATAGTTAATGACCGGTTGTATAAATTTCGTTCGATACCAATTGAGCTTTTGGTTTAATGAACTTTTTCTGAATCCTCGACGTTCGTCGTATTGGGTGGTATCTTTCTCAATTCGAGGTTCGGTAAGAGCGTAAGGTTTAAAAGCGGTTTCCTTGTTTCATCTTGAAGTCTTAAAAACTCAGATGTTATATATCGTTTTCCATACCGTGCCGTTTGAGTCCTGTGTCTCAGTAACCGTGTTGTTAACATTGTACTCTTATTGACAGATCAAGCTTTTCGACATAGCTTCAAACTCGTCCTTACAGTGTTTCAAACTTGATTTGAATAGATCGAATCTTTAATTGGTGATATTTCTTGAGTTGGATAGATTAACTTGGGTGTACTTCGTGCTACGGGTACTCGCACTGATGCATACTTTCAGCTACTCTGATGTAAAAGTAAATTTGTAGTTGCACTCTGGGCGTTGGTGGTGCCCATAGTCTCAAACAAGTTTTCCCTGGATTAATTTGACGTCTTGAAAGTGATTTGAAAGTCCCCGGTTTGTTCATGTTGGGGTATTGTTTTCCACAGAAATACAATGCGAGTGTGAAACACTAATGAGTGAAATAGTCGTCAGGTGGCAATTATAATCAAGTATCTCGGAAAACTGGTGGGCATTGGATTTTTGGTACTGACGGTGACTTCTGTCATGTGTGGACTCGAATGGGTCATGGTGATGATTACCAGCCTGAGGACAATCCCAGTAGTGATAAACCAAACGATCTCTAGTGAGCAAAAACTCAAGAATGCACTAGAAGAAACCATCCCGGTGCTCAAACACAGAAAAGAGGAAATGTTACCGAGAATCTTTTACTGATAATTCGTAGAAACCCTCCGCAAATTTCAACTGCTTTACCATCTTCTGTTTACACTGTTGAATTTCTGCTGTAATATCTTTAATCAATATTGCGTTGCCACTTCTGGATTTCGGTTCACGTTCAATCTCTGTAAGACAGATTCCTGCAGCTGACTGTGGGGTCTTCTGGGCCACATTCAATACTTCGGATAGTGGACCTGTATTAAAGCTGGAAGAGAGCACCCCAAGTTTTGAAAGTGTTAAAACTCATACACTGAAATAAGTACTAGGTAGAGACTTTGCTGAAGATATGTTCAACCAACCTTCAAATATTGCAAAACTGCAGATGTAATGTAATTTTACCCGACATAACGAGATAGTTTTGCACAACTGCTCCGATCATGGACAGCAAAAAGAAAGACTCACCTTACTTCAAAACCGGTACTCTGCGACTCCTCGAGTACTCTGCAGACTCCTTGTACAACCCATGGAGGGATGTAAGCCCCGTAGGCATCCTTCACTTCAAGAGAGTACATCATCTCGGGGACATTGGTTCCCTTCATCCTTCCAGTCATGCTCCCGGCAAGTTGATTCCTGGCGGAAGAATCGTACTCCGCGCGTTTGCATTTGATCTAGTGATACAAAAGAGGAGAACTGACATGTAAAGATATATAACATATTTGACAAGAACACATATACCTCTAAAACCACACTACTGAGGAAAGGAAGCTCCATCCAGGAGGTCTCGCATTCAACAAAGTTTATGTAATTCGGTAGAGCATCCATGCTTGTAAAGTCTCTAGATCTCACAGCGAAGCACAAAGGGCATGTCGAATATATGCTCCTACCTCAGGAGCGTGCAGAGTTGCCGTTTTAAATTCGACAGGAGAATAGAGAACCGGAATTTCTTTCGCATTAGCAGATCCAACTACGAACCTGCTCAAGCAACCGATTGAAGTGAGTTAGGCATTGGAACATGTATTACAGACAGATATGTGAATTCCTCCGCATTGTAAGTAAAACATTTCCTTGACGTTGTCCTAAAAACAAGAGAAACCAGCCCTCAAACGTGGAGCATATGAAAGAGAGGACTCCTGAATTACTCCTCTAAGTGAACCTAATACGTGGAATCACATAGGGTTTAGGATCATGAAGCGTTCACCTGTAATTAAGGAGAAAGTCAAATAGACGGTGGACATTTTTCCCCTTAAATACCAAAACAGATTGTGGACTGTTGTCCATAACTGATGATGAGTCCATTACTCTTGTCTACATCATCCGAAGAAAAAAGCATGATATTGATATCAGTAAGTCCTGAATAAGTTGATCAACTTAAGGGCTAGGAACTGAGAACCAGCGGTTTCTAATCCATGACAGTTGATGGACTGCTTTCAGCCTTCTGTTCTTCGTTGCTACGGTACTAGAAACATGACCGTACTTATTTTCTCCGTACCTTCTGGAATACAAAGGCAGACATGGTTGTAAATACGACATTAATGCAAATAAAGTGAAATCTTTACCTGTCCCGGGTGCAACTGCTCAAATTCGGTCAGCTCCTGGAGTTCTTCCATTGTAGTAGTATCAGCTTCTGGGCTGCTGTAAGGCATCAAAAACTCTACACCCTGTTTTACAGAATCGTTGGTTGCACGACAATTAACATGTGTCTTGGATCTAAAGACTTAAATGTGATAATATCCTTCCTTCCCTTCATCTAAAGCATGATGGGGACCCCGATGATTTATGCAAATTCTTGAACTTGCTGCGAGAAGACACCCTTGAGCTGAAGCACTTGAACTACTCTGACAATCTAAGCTTTATCACGACCATCTTATGGTTAATCAATATGGTTCAAAAACGAGACGCAATGCAAAAATCATAGAAGTAATAGCATGAGAGAAGTCATTCGCAAACAAGCGACGAAATAGTAGTAAGAAGCAGATATCAAACTGACGAAAGAGCAGAAAGAAGTACACCGTGAAGCATCCTAACCGAAAACACTAGGTCAATGCTGGCCTTGACGTACTTGCTCTCTGAGTAACCTTCTCAAGCCCCGAGTGGATCTAGACCAGTAAGCATTCGAGGAATTATGATCTCTCCCGGCCACGTTTCCTCCCACGAACATCACCACGAATTGTTGGGTGCAAACTGTAAAATACAAATAATTATTAGTTCGGTAGTTTGTTTTCCACTACCATCAATGACTTTTACCAAATGCCTGATTTGGTGTGACGGTGGAATCCTTATACTCTGAATCTCATCATTTTCAGTAGAAGAGACCGTGAAGCTCGAGCTAGAATAAACTAATACTGGATTCATAGTTAAAACCTATAGACATTTGTATGTCAGAATGTTCATCAAGTGCGGAATCTCACAATAAAATTGGTTGCAGACTCTGTGATGGAACATATAATACAAAGAAGTGAAGGCATCCTCCCACATTTGATACAGTGCTGTGAGTTGTGGGTCTTTCCCTGCAAGAACATAAGTGAAGGGTCAAACATTACAGAAGGTGTCCAACGGATAGTACAAAGAAGTGAAGGCATCCTCCAACATGAGATACAATGCTGTGAATTGTAGGTCATTCCATGTAAGAACAGTATTGGAGGGTCAAATAATACAGAAGCTGTCTAGCTGTAGCTATGCACACCCGGCATGTCTTCTGTTTTGATTTTAATGAAAAAGACCGCACAATCAACGTTATTTGAAAGTTGAAAACATCAAGGAGAAAGCGGTGGTGACAGGGGACATACTGGAATCTCCTCGTGACGATGTCAAGGCCAGGTCGTACAGTCCCGAATATTGAGGAGAAGGATGTATCCAAGAGAAGAGAGCCTTGCAGAACTGAGCCCCAAACCGCTTTAAGATCTGCTTTTCAGCACATTCTTCAACCTGACTGTCCACATTTTCTTTGTTGCGTTCTTCTAGCCTTCTCACGAACTTACTGAGGCCTTCTGTTTCATTGGAAACAGTTGTTCTGTGACACCTACAAAGTTCGGAGGGATGTCAATTTCCTCGTTTGTGCAGCCCGATGCTCCTGGTAAAGAACATAGATATTGAACGAATAGAGAACCCTACTTCCATATCAATGGCTTTTCATATTTGTTTCCCATAAATGCTAGAGAATATGCCTCAGACCGACAACAGGAGTGAAACTTACCAGTGAAGAGAATCGGCTGACAAGAATCGTGCACTAAGCTTCAAGGAAAAATCAACAGGTGGAGTCTTCGACTTCAAAAGAGTGGTATGGTCGTCATGCACTAGCACGTTTTGGCCATTCGCAAGGCCTACAGGCTTAGTTGCTAACTCGTTCAAGCCTTGTCCCCATGATGTTGGTGCCATCATCTTCAGAGCCTCAACCTGAAAGACCAGTCAAAATTTGAATTGTATTTCTCCAGGGACCCACACTCGTGACTTCCAGATACATTCATTATGGAACTCAAGCCGTTCTTTCATGACTGCAGAAGAAGATGACAATCTCAAGAGAAAAAGCACATGGAAACCACTAAATCAAGATAAATCGACCCGTCCATGAAGAGAAGCTGAGCAGAACGGAAAGAAGACAGGTGTATTCACCATATTCAAACCAGACCCGGATGTTTCGAGTGGAGCCACAGTGGACATCTGAGTAACGTCTCGAAATTTATTCAGGATGTGAGCGGCATGCACTGAATGGTTCGCAACTCCACCCTCCGCAGCGCAATTATACGAGTCAACACCTGGCATCTCACCAGAAGCAGGCATCCTGTTTTCCTGATCGGTAGGCCTCCTAAAAAACCAGATTAGATTTCAGTACAACGATAGACAGATATCTGGATACTCTGTATTAGAGATGAAGCAAGAAGCAAGTACAGGTAGAACAGGCAGACACAAACCTGATTGCAGCTGACGGCATCGGGGGATGGCCGACCATGTCATCCTAGATATCACAAAACAGACCCAACACATATACTTTTATTGCCAGATTCGAGTTTCAATGCCTGACAAGTCAATTTTCCACAAGCCACACAAAACCTTGCTATAGTATTACCCGGCAGGAGCGAGCTCTAAAGCCTCCAGAAAATGATGCAGACCAAATATTGGCTTTCAAAAGGTTTCAAGAGCCAATTATCAGAAGATTTACCATTTGCTTCAGAGAAGAAAACTTCGGTCTTTCGTGGGGTTTTGTGGCCGCGAAAATATCAGCAACTCGAGTATCAATTAAACGAGGCGTGACCTTCTTCGATTCTGTAGCTGATCTGCAGAGAGGGAAGAGACGAGAGTCAGCAGAATATGAGATCGAAAGAACATATTCCTGAAAGTTGCTGAAGAAAAACTACAAATAGAACTGCACAATCATTCTGTAACAGTCGTAGCTTGAAACCATGCACCCTGGCTGAGGTACACTGATCAGAAGAAAAGAAAAAGAAGAAGACGAAGACAACGGAGTAGGCGACAACGTAGGAAGAAAAGAGAGAAAACTACTTGTGACGGAAGAAAGTATCACGCATAGAGGTATACTCCCAAGGATGGTTCGAGGCTTCTAACAATCAACCAGGCAATCCTAATAAGTCATCCACTGACAATATTATTGCTGCTTTTATAATCATCGGTATAAGTCATGAGGCTGCTTTGGGCCTTAGCCCAAGGCTGCCTTTGACTTCTCCATCATGGCGAGGTTTAGAAAAAAACAAGGTGTGATATATAGAAAGAGATAGATATGAAGTGACAGGTCGAGAGCTGCATTCCATCAAATCATGCACGAGTGTTTCAAAGTCCCTGCCACGCAGTACGCAAGTTTCGGAATGGTTCCACCCTGAACCAAAGCTGCCTACCCAAACAAGGAACACCAAAGAGGAGATTGAGCTTGAGAATCATGTGAGGTACAACGTCACTAGGTCTAGGAGGGAGAGGTCTGATTTGTGATTCGCTGCCTTCCTATCCAGTTTCTCTGAGAATCCATTGATTGTATCTGTCATTCAGTTTCAAAGAGCCATATTTCCATCTCCCATGAGTCTACTCCCGAAGACAAGTTTCTTGCGCTCCGAGTGTCCTTGCCTAACTCAGCAATGGTTTATCAAAACTAGTTCCTTTCGAGAGCTCGGAAGCAACTGTGAGGTAAGATCCGATTGAGCTGACTCTACTTTACTTTGTTAGCATCCTTACACATACAAAGAGTGTCACTCCGAATTCTTCTCCAACTCGAACTCCGGAATGACATCTGTGTACCAGAGGTTTTCAGCCGTACTACTTCTAGTCGGGCTTGTGGTATCGGCATTCCAGACTGCTTAAAAATCTAATTTGAAGGATAAGTGACCAATATGTTTCGCTGTTAATTACGAAACACCGAAGGTACGTGGTAGTCGGTATATTAAACAGAAGGAAAGAAAAGTGCAAATCTGTTGAAGAACTTTCAGAATCACCAAAATCTGATGATTAATCTCCCGGTTATCCAGGAGTGCGGAGAGGAGAGGATCGTACCCTTGGAATGGAAGGGCGCCAGACTCTCCTTCTGACGCTGTTCTTAGCCGCACGTTGCGCTTCAGCTGTTCTTGCTGCAGATGAACACATTTGTGGATCATCAAGTTGGACGTTGGAAGGGCTCAAAATAAGTGGAAATCAAATTCACACATTCATCACAAGATATCGTTTCAGCATTTAGGTACGATACAAAAGGTGTACGCATCCTGTAAATGAAGATAGAAGCTGAATCTCTACCAAGAGCAAAAAACAGTCGCAATTTATATCTCACCCGAAGTTCAGATGGAGTTTTCCTCCTTGCGGGGATAGAATAGCTCGAGGACGGGCCCATTGTGAGACCCTGGTCAGAAGGAGGAAGCATAGTAGCGGGTGGCATTTTTCGCCTTGTTCCAGCTACGCTCCAGTGCTCGAAATTGAATGCAGTAAAAAATTCGTTTTCATGCCAGAGGAACGTTTTCACCTATAGGATAAATTTCATAAAACAAACTAGACACAAACCGCGCAGAGCCATGGCATTCCCTCCCAGAAACGCCTCTGATCGTATGATAAGGCGACGAAAGTACGATTACACTGCACAACCGGTGGTGAATATGATCAATTGAAACAAATGTGAAGACGATCCGGTACAACTCTTCGTGTTCTCCTACACAGCAGCTATCACGCAAAGGCAATCATCTTAAAGCTCCATCTATCCAACAAATTTAGTCAATTCCCCAGACGAATTCCCAGAAAACTCCGTGTCATGAAGAAACGGTGACAAGGGCAAAGACGTCATGCGTACCGTCCTCCGTCCGAAGCTCTGAAGGGTAGTAGACCCTCTTTTCCCATCCGAGAACAAGCACATGTTTCGAAGCTTAGCTTCTTCAGGACACACGCGCTCTGCGCAAACGAATTCAGCCCAGCGGCTTCTGCATCCTAGCGCGTCTTGGATCCACTGAACTCATAGTCTACGCACTGCTGTGATCATACATTTTCCGAGAAGTCCAAACTCGTCGTCTAGAATCCACCATTATCAAAGCGAGGCATCCTCCGTGATGCACAATAATCTCCGACCGACTCCCATGTCCCACAACGAGGAATTCACGCGAGAAACGAAAGCCGACTAATGACGCACATGGAACCCTCAAGCCCCTGCCCCTGCTCCCTCCACCTCCACTACCGGCTCAGCAGGCAGCCAGTACATTGACAATCGACAGCATCAACTTCTGGACGAATCGACGATCGGCGTTAGGGCGAAGATTCCGTTTTTGTTCGCTCTGATACAAGTAAGAGCCCCAAATTCAAAAATGTCCCGCCATTACCACGTCTCGCCCAGGTACGTACGTACCGGACGGGACGGGACATCGTGGAGTCGTGAGAATGTCCATCTCTTTTTTACCCAACGTGGTTGGATGGAAAGTCCAGCGTGGTTTGGTTTCGTGTCTGGTTTCTGCTTTCGCTTCTTACCAGTTACCATCCTTCTTATCTTCCGGTCAATAGATCTATGTTTCACTTTATTCCAGTTTCCTGAATTATCCGTTCGATGAATACAGACACAACGCTAATGGCAATCGTGAACGCGATCGCTGAAGTTCAGGCAGTCTGCAGTTACTCAGGTTTCAAATACTCAATATCTTAGTGTTGTTTAACAGAAATTTTTCAAAGAAAAGTATACAATTTGTGAAATTTTCTTTCATTCATTAGGTCATTACGAAATTTCAAATTACATGGGTGAATAATTTGAGATCTTATTGATGCATGATTCATATAGTAATGTAGTTCGTTCTACTGCATATCGACTCGAAGGAAACGATATGTAGCACTCTCCCATCGCATTGATAACAAAGCTCTTCTTGCTGATCGTTTAATATAAGCATGATGTGTTAGTATCTAAAACTATGAATCTCAAGCTGTGAAATAAATTTCAGTTTTTGAAAGTGTCGCAAATTTCATAAATTATATCACTTATTGTTTACTTAAAATGGTGATTTTCTCACAAATTTGCATATTTATAATATCATATAAATTGAAACACATTTTGAAATTCATTAAATTTTTTGATCTTATGCCATCCTAGTTGATAGCATTTTAAAAGAAAGAAAAATGATAAGTTGAAAAAATCTTTTAAAAAAATTTTAGATCACAAACAAATCTATGCAAACAATCATATTTAAAATTCGTTTATCTACATAATAAACCACCTGGAATTGAATAATTCGAAATAAGATGTTATCATATTTTCAAAAAATTATGTGATACATGCAGTTTCAACCATACTTACTTCACTTCTTAATGTGATTTATAGACAATTAAGCTGTATTTGTTTCGACTATGTAAACTATTATATGTTTGTCTCATTTCAAGTTCTGTCTTCACTTAATTTCGTGTTGTACAGCTCTATAAATGAACAACTTGTATGGAAAATAATGTAACTGTATTCGTAAATATATGGATTATTATTTATCACCGTATAAATTAGTGGAAGTATAGACAAACTCTATACAATCACAGTTACTTCATGATCAGACTTGTTTGTATGTTATTTAGTCAATCTATCAAAATATATGTATAGAAAAACCATTTCTGTAAGACATATATGTCACAGATCTTATTAGATTAGCAGACTTTCAAAAATGAAACTAAGAAATAATTGGAGAAAAAGACTTCCACGATTGATGGAATAATATAGAAATGACTGAAAAAAAAAAACTTTACTGGGCACTTTCCAAAAAAGTTATATGATTTATTTCAAAATCACTTATAACTTCAATTCAACACATCGATCATGATTGCTAATCTTAATTTTTCATGTGCATTGTTATTGTATATGTTGATATAATTTTCTTGTCATTATGGATTTACTAATGTGTGTGCTTGTACATTTTTGTTCACTATGTACGATTTATTTACTTGTGAAACAGTTATAAATTTTTCTACTAGAGGATTAATTAAGTGTTTGAGTAATGATATTTCCTTCCACTATGATTAATTTGATCAAATATAATGTACATGCTGTACTTTGTCTTACACTTAGTGTTAGATAAGTTTTTGCTTACAAGACATTGTATGATTTATGTAAGGGCTAGTTATCCTTCACTTAGGGCTAATTAGCCCTCACCCTACTATAAGTTCTATCTACCAACAAGAAAACTGCTTATAATAGAGTGATGGCTAAATCATAGTAACGGCTATAACTTGCCACTCCCATGATTTATAGTCTTCATCATAGTGTTTTCATAATTTATGTATGTCTTCACTTGAACTTTGTTATTCTCAATGTAGAATCTTGAGAATATCCATCTGTAAATATATATATCTTAGTTTTTTCAGAACCTGGTATAATTTCACTCACACACATAGATAAAGCTTGTATAATTTCTATATCTTATAGCACAAATACATAATCTGAAAAAAAGTATTATTTATGTAACACAATACACCAAAATTATTTGTATGCATTTTATATAAGAAGACAAGATACTTAATTTGATTTTTTTATAAAATCTAAAAATCAGATGAAATTATAATGGACTTGATTGGATAACATATAATACAAAATTTATTTATTTATATCTGATATAACATGATTAAAATACCGTGGCAACAAATGTATACAAAAAATGTCAATGTATTATTATAACTTTTGAATCTAGTCGTACTTTTAATATTTAATTTCAACTTATTTCAAACAAATTTTCAATTAAAAAAACATTGTAATATGTAAGGTTGAAATAATATATATTCAGAATAAAATTATATCAAAATAAAGTCAATTTTTGACATATTAAATTTTTTTAATATTTTCTCTATTGTTATCATCTATATTAATCATTATTGTATAATTCCCGAAAATATATTCTTATATGATAATCGTATAAAAACCTTAGATTTCTAATGGTACAAATAAGATAACAACAAAATTTCAAAACATATATATTTATTTGTATTTTGATTATGCAGTAAAAAATATAAATGAATCTCAGACATCATTTTTTTACTAGTTACTAAATTCTAACTCTAAGCACACACAATTCTAACAAATTTTTAAACTAATAATTTATTCCGTAGGAAAAAAACGTTTTTGATGGAAAATGCGTATGAATTTATCCATGTTATATAGCAATTAATGCCATCAGTAATTAATTTTTTCCTGAATTTGAATAATGTAATTATTCACATATATTATTGACCTCAGGCACATACATTTTAGTTTTTTTAGTTTTTGTAAAAAATAAGATTTTCAATACTTGATTATATTCACGTATTCATTAAGTTTTTTATTTACAATATATGCATAAAAAAACAAACCAAGTTATTTCCCCTACTTGGGTTACCATGTTTTTGAAATCTTATGTCTAAGATATATTTGATGTATACTAAATGAATGCACAAGATCCTTAAACATGTAACTTTTTAAGTATGTAATATATTCAATTCAACAAAAATGTTTATCTTAAAAAAAAACATATCAGATGAACACTAAAACTCCTTGTTTCATTACATATTTAGCATGAGCAAGCACATCACACATCATTCATATGATCGAGAAGAAGTGCAGATAGCATATCATTGGAACAATATAATAGTATCATTCAAACATGTTTTTCATTATTTGTTCAATCATCCATGATTTTTTTTCTTACTTTTTCATATCAAAATCTCATATTCATGAGCTTTGGTTCATTTCAACCGACTTCTTTTAAAATTTGTCATATGAGTCATAGTTGATAAACAATTAATAACCATTATTTTTTATTAAAATTACAAAAAAGCAATTTGTTTAAATGATCTTTAATGATTGCATCTTGCTCTTATATATTGATGAATTTAGTTTTTATTCAATGTGTATCCATACGCAAAGTTATGCACTTACAATTATTGGTTATGACCAACTTTACAAGTATTTAGATAATTTTGGGTTTGGAAGTATATTTTTACCTAATATCTGCTAATTATTAAATTTATATTTTAGATAATTAAAATTAATCAAATTATATCGAAAAATTAAATTTTTATATGATATAGCTTATATTCAAAATTTTATTTTCATGTTTTTTATGTTCCAAACACTATGAAAATCCTTTAAAAAAAATAGAGTAATAATTTTAATTTATCTATAGTTTAAATGATAAGATCAACTAAACAGTTTGATGTTTTAAGAGTGAAGCAATATCATTGCAACATCATTTGTCAAAACCATCTAATTGTAAGTAAAAATTGTTGAGATTAACTCCGGTTAAGAAGTAACCTCAAGCTCTAGCCATTTATAGTTATGTGTGTCGCTGGCTTTGGGTATAAATATACCCCCAAAGCCAAGGTTTCTCGAATGAGGTGAAGTATTGTGTATTCACTTGTCAATAAACCTCCTCAGTGTTCCAGCCGTGGACGTAGTACTCGAGGGTGAACCACGTTAAAAGCTACACTAAAAGCTACGTTAGACTAAATTTTCAGCTACCTTAGCTAAAAGCTAAGGTTTAGTTTGAAGTTCAGGGTACGCGCTCACGTGGTCGATACATACGAGGTTAAAGCGCCAGCACTCGTTGTCGCGGGTGACTGATCTTTTCAGTCGCGGGCGACGGTGGTCATGGGCGACAAGAGTCGCGGGTGACGGATATAGTCACGGGTTACAGACGTAAAGTGCATCTTGACCATTTTCAGGAGCTGAAAATGCACTCAAAAGACGAAATTGCCGTGACAACAGACAGTATCTCTAGTTTTGGTCGAACAGAGATGGCCTCAAAACAAGTTGCAGGAACAGGGTACAACATTCTTACTCTTGATGGCCGATCTGATTACTTGCTTTGGGAAAAGTAGGTAAAAGACAAGTTGAGATCTATGGGTCTCGCTAATGTGCTTAAAGACAAACTAATGCACATTACCGACATTGATTGAAAGGATTCACAAGAGCAAGCAGTCTACATTGTGATGGGTTATCTCGATCCTTTGGTTATGAAGCAAGTTGAGGAGTATCTTGAGGTTACACAGCTTTTTGATGCCCTACAAAGACGGTTTCATCAGAAGAAAATCTCCCATGTGATGAATATCTACATGAGGCTATTGAATTTCAGGATGAGGCCGGGCTCGAGAATTCAGGATCACATTCACGCCTACGGAGATTTGTTGGTAGATCTTCAAAGTATGGGAGAGAAGCTTTCTGACATTAAGAAATCTATGCATCTACTTCACTCATTACCTCCCTTTTATCAGACACTATCAAAGATTCTACTTCATCGTGATAAC